GAGGGAGAATGCAAGCGCGTGAGCCTCGTCTCACGATTATCAAAGCGGATGCGCGCTGCTTTTGTTAATTGAATCGGTTGTCACGGGCAGGAGGAAAGGCGTCGTGGTGCTCGCTCCACTCGGCCACTGTGTTCTCCAGAAGAAGCGAGTTCGAGCGATCGACTCATAATCGAAACCGCTCGGAGTCGATTTTCGTCGACCGCACCGAGGGCTACATCAATAAAAAAAAGAGGAAAAAAAGAAAAAGAAGAGGAGGAGGAAGAAGCGGAGGAAGGTGCAGAATGTAACGTGTGGATGTTGGCCAGTGAGCGCCGCGAGCGAATCACGAAGGCCTCTCTTTTCTCGCGCGCGCACATCGCCTCGGGGGCATTTAAAAAGGAAGCGCGGCGTTCCCATGCTCGCCGCCTCATGGCACACATACTCCTGCCGAGGAGAAGGCGCGAAGAGTCGCCGTCGTCGCCAATTGAAACTCGCTCCTAATAAAGCACGCGGCTGTTTTTCCTCTTCTGCCAGCTGTCTTCCAACCTTCACCGTTATGTCGCTTATATATATATATATATATATATATATATATCCGGGTCTCCGGCACGCTGGACTTTCCTCGGTTGGGCTTTGTCGCGAGAAGATGATTCGGAGACGCGGCGCGACCTTGCCGTGGAAACGGGCCGCTTGGTCCGAGTGCTACGGATCCTCGCTCCCTCGGCATTCAAGTCTCCGCGTCCGGGCGGCGCTCGCCGAGGCGTCCGCTGTCTCAGCTCCTGCCAGCAGACTAAACAAACTCGGACGCTCGTTAGAGCCGCGCCTCCAAGGGCTATGCTTCGTTCGATATACCGACGATCATCAAAGCGCGATTCACCCCCATCACCCCGATCACCCCGATTCCGAACGACTCACGCTCGTTTTATAAACAAACTGCTCATCGATCTGCAAACGGAGCAAACGGAGAAGATTCCGATGCAAAAAGAGGAAGAGTCGCGGCGAGTTTATAATCGAGTGTAGATCGTAAAACCGTTGGACCGATGGACTTGGCTTGCAGCAGTGCTGAGCATTGATGTAGGCCAGCGCGCGGAAAAGTGGGTCCGAGAGAGTCTCGCCGCGAGCACAAAGAGCTGCTGCTGCCGCTGTCGCTGCCGCTGCCGCTGCCGCTGCCGCTGCCGCTGCTGCTGCTGCCGCCGCCGCCGCCTGCCTGCCTGCCTGCCTGCCTCCGCTTCTCGTGTGCCCGTGTGTCCGTGTGTCTGTGTGCGTGTAGCCAAGGATTATATTTGGGTCTCGTTACGCTTTTCGTCGTCTTCGAGGGGATAAACATCGCGTGAGAACAAGTCCTCTTTCCCCAAAAATTTCTTTGTTCCTCGCGCACTCTCGCTTCCTCTTTCTCATGCGATTATCGCGCGAACCACGGGAGACAATGTAATAAACTTGAGCAGAGGAAAAAACATGGTCGCAATCGGCCTCGAAACTCGTCGACCTTGAATGGGGCAAAATATAATTGCCCGCGAACACCGTTACACCCTTTACAACGGACAACGAGAAAGAAAAGAAGCTCTGAAAAATCGTTCGAAGAGAAGGGCAACGGTATCGCAATTTTCTCCTCTGCTTCGTCGTTTATCGCTCGCCAGAGAGCCAACACACGCTTGCTCGGTCCACCGCCTTATCGAGCGGCCTCCGCCGAGGGCTACACGCGTGTGCGTGCGTCGCCGCGAAAATTCTCCGTTGCTCTGGAAAAAGCCAGCCTCGCGCGCATTACGAATGCGCCACTCGGTTGAAAAATCGATGATCGGACTCTGCGCAACGCGCGCTCGAACGGACGTCACGACAATTTTTAAACGAACCGTACAGTACGACGATGAGTAATCAACGCGAGAGAAAGAAAAATGGTTGATTGCCGCGTCGTCATAAATCGCTTGTATCAACATTAGCTGCGGTCAGAGAGATAACAATCGAGCAGTCTCTGGTCTTTGGTCTCTGGTCTCTAGTCTCCGGTCTCCGGTCTCCGGTCTCCGGTCTCTGGCCGAGGTCACACGCCAATATTTTCTTCGGCCGTCAGAAGCCGAGTGCTGCGCGCTCGTCAGAGACGTGCTCGGGGCTAAGGCTACGCGGGTGGTGCTTGCGCGTCGAGACGGAAAAATCGGGAATTCCATTAGTCGCAATAAATAAATATGCACACGCTGCGACCGTTATGCTCCGAGCGTACGTGGTCGTATGGAAAATCGGTTTGGCGCTCGGTCCGCAGCGAGAGAGCGCCTCGGGCGTGCTTTAACGGTGCGCGCTTAGACAGGGGTCAGCGGGGCCCGAGACGGGTCACGCGTGTAACGTTGCCGGCGCTGGTTCGCACGGCGCTTTCGACAGCCGAACCCCGACGGGCGTCGGCCTTGAAGACGAACGTTAGCCCACCTTGCTCTGACAAAGGCGGAGCGGTTTTGGCGATGCGATGCACGACCGAGTGAATCACGTGTGCGTGCGCTCGAAGATGAGAGATCCCGCGCTGCACAGGCCGCGGATAAATAGGCGCAATCAACGATTCCCGTGGTGTGCCGGCGTCGATCGATTTCTTTGTTCGCATTTAAATTCCCGGTGCCCGTACGGACACCGACAGGGCGGCGCAGGCTTTTCGAGGGAGAGAGAGATATCTTTGTCGTGCGCCAGCGTGCCTCACGAATGTATACGCTTCGACGGAAAACGCACGCCTTTTATTCCCAGAGCAATGTTTATATGCATCCTCTTTGTTGTCGGCCGCGCGAGATGAATGATAATTGCGTTGGACAGACGGTTCGAGTGCTTTTCTCCGGTCTTTATGGAAATGGAAGTGGCGGATAGCCGAGGTCGCTTTGTCCCGATCGAACTTTATTGGCAATGGCGCTTCCACCGTTTTCTCTTATTAGCGCGAGCGACGTTCCTGTTCGAGGACAGCCGCTGCTCGTCGGAGGAGTCCCCGAAACGCATTTCGCGACGTCGACGGCGGCGCTCCAGAAAAACCGCGGCCTGTCCCACACCTACATCCGCGTGCTGCACAATGCAAGCAGCGCGGCCGCCAGCGAGCGAGAGCCTCTTACGAAAGCCAATTCCACGTCAGTCGCGATCGCGACTCTCTTTCACGTGCTCGATTCCCGGAATAGAGCCGAACAGCTGCAATATTGCACACGCGCCAAATGAAAGAGAATGGCCGGCCGATAAGTCGCCGCGCGTATTTTTCTCTCCACTTCTGCATACACCCACCCATCGGTTTTATTTTTAGCATTCGAAAGTGTTATTTTCGGTATGCGATCTTGACCCACTTCAATGTTTTCCAGCGGATGCCTTTATCAGGCATCTCCGGCGACCTTCGTTCAAATTTTCGTTGCTCCTCGACGCTGATTCATAATTTCTTATTTCTGTCGGATGCACACGTTCGCCTCGTCGTGGGAAATGCTAATCGTGAGGAAGCGGCAGCGCCGGCAGTCTCTCGTGCGCGAAATTTACGTAACGTGTTCCAATGCAGGGTGCTGCTGCTTTCACCCGCGCATGCCAGTTAGGTAAAGCCTAAGACACAACTGCAACGCAGCGGGCAAAAGAGAAAGAGGCTGCTGCTGCTGCTGCTGCTGCTGCTGCTGCTGCTGCTGCTGCTGCGAAGGTGGAAGTTTGATTTGTTGTTCGGAGAGCGATTTGTGCATGACGCTTGTTTAGGAACTGATTTTACGAGGCAATCAGCAGAAATTTATGATACGGCGATCCCCTTTCCTTCTCTTGTCGTTGATCACGATTATTCCGCGCACCTTCGCTTTTCAAATGCTGAGTTTTGTGTTCAACGATCACCGATTCTTTCGAGTAGTTACTCGTTTTCTACTTTTCATTTATAATATTCTAATTCAATTCTTGTCTCACTGCTACTCGTTGATCGATAGCCAAGTAGCCACCGAAATCGATGGTTCATGGGGTATTCTCTTTCTCTCTGTTGACGCCCTTGGAGCAATAGCAACGGCAGCGGCGGAGGAATGTCGAAATTCCGGTGGAGAAGTAATAAAACAGAAGTGCGCGTGCGTCAGTGCATATAAAAATCCGCTAGCGCTTGTACACGCTCGTACACGCTCGTACAGCTGAGACTGAGTCAGCTTATGAAAATTTCAAAAGCGTGAGAGAGAGAAAGAGGAACCGCTAGCGCGCGAAGACAACGGAACCGGCGAGATTTTCGTACGGCACATTCCGGGGCGAATATCCCTGTCGAGAGATATGATCTCTCGCGAGCTTTCGCAAGAGAAGAGCAAAGCCGCACATGTATGGGAGTTAAGACTGGCAACGAGCTGCCTATGAGGAATTGGCACGTCGAGGAAATAATGTGCGATAGCAGGTAAAAAAAGGGCGCAAGGGACTTTATTACAATCGAGATTCGGATCGAAGAGGCGCCACGGCGCGCCGTCGCGCAAATATTAATTTCTCTCGCTCCTCTCTCTCTCTCTCTCTCTCTCTCTCTCGTCGATATGCAATATCGGCGCCCATGCTTTGTAATTATTTACAAAACTCGTGCAGCGCGATATGCATTGCATCTGTTTTGTTTGCTTCGGCTCCGTGGATGTAACAACCGCAGCAGCGCAGCCACGGCTTCATTACAATTACATCGGCTATCGCGATTCTCGTAAAGATTCGCGCGTTCGCTGCGTGAAATGCGCGTGCAGCGGGGCGGATTCAATAACGCTTTGACATATCGACGCTGCTCCTCGAATAATAATACAGGCGTGCCTGCATCGCTCTTGTTGATTATGCGCTCGAGTTTTCCCGATGCGGACTCCTGATCGCATTCTCTCGTTCAAGGTTTCCCAAGCGCATGAATATCCTCGTAAAATCGATTTGACGTCGAGCGAGCGCAGACGGTAACGGACCATTCGCGATGGCACGTTTCATTGGCATCATCGTCGCTTTTCCATTTGATTCGCTAATAAAGCTGTTCGCAAAGTGACAGCAAGCGAGCGAGCCTCCGACCCTTTCCGACACTTCGGTATCTAACGTTGCCACTGGTTTTTTCGTTTCAGGGGCAAATTCGCAACAGTTCGACGCTGCAGAGAACGCTCGAGTGGCAAGCAATGGGCAGCCAAGTTTCTGAAAAAACGTCGACGTGCTCAAGAGCTGAAGGCCGAGGCGTTGCACGAAGTGGCGGTGCTGGACGCTGGGGCGCACTGCGCGCGTCTCGTTTCACTGCACCAAGTCTTCGAGACGAGTACCGATATGGTGCTCGTTCTTGAATTGTAAGCATATTTTCTCCTTTATCTTGATTTATAACAACACGATTCGCGTCTTGATAGCAGCTCTTTCCTTCGTTTTATCCCAAACAATTGTCGTCCACGCGATCTGCACGCCGTCATTTTTATATACGATTGTGTTTTTCGTTGCTACACTCGAAACACGAATGCTGGCTCGCAAACGACAACTAATCGTTACAATTTATCAGTATAAATTACAAAAGAGCTTTGCCAAGCCAGCTTCATTATCAAACAAGTAAAGGAATTCCAGAGGAAGTAAAAGCCAAGCTCGATCATCTGCAACAATCGTATGGGCAAAAAAATTGCCAGACACGCACGAGCGACATTGAATCAACAAAACGGACACTGACAAAACGCCTCGATGCCAAGCGCACATCGATTAATCACATTATAAGGCTTTTGAGACTAAAGCCGCGTACGACAATTAATAAACTTACATGAAAAGCCGTGGCTTGGAAAAGCTCTGACGATTATCTAATTGTCCCACGAGCTCGTGGCTTTTAAAGAGAGAGAGAGAGAGAGAGAGAGAGCGTGTGGGGAAGGGGGGGGGGGGTGACTATTATATCCAGTCGCGCGCCAAATGGAGAAACTCGAACTCTAGGAAGTGTCTAATGCACGTGCGTAAGGTATACACGCAGACACATACACACAGACAATGGGGTTCCGTTTTCTACCTTTTGTGTGGCGTACCGTTACGACACATATACAATATACAGGACCTCGTGCTAATTAATAAATGGAAACTCTGTTGTTGGCGCGCAGAGCTCCTGGTGGCGAATTACAAATGGTGCTGGACAGGGACGAGATACCGGACGAGAGGCAAGCTGCCAAATTCCTGCGGCAAATTCTCGACGGCGTTGCATTCTTGCACTCGCTAAACGTCGCTCATCTCGACATTAAGGTGAGATCTCGCAGACACTATTGGCACGAAATTGGAACGCGCGGAGATTTCGTCGATGGCCGCTGACTGGTCGATCGTGCGTTGCCAAGGCGAGCCGCTTTCCTATTTAAAATAATATCTATACGCACGCACGTGCGCTCGCCTTCGGCTGTGCGCGATATCGCCTCGGCCGAGTAAACTTTAGATCGGACACTCCTCTCGAGCTGCCGACTGTGCTGTTGCTCTTGTGGCCGGCAAGAATGCTTTGGGGCAGCCCTTCGTGTGCTTCTTGCTCGAGAGGCAAAGGTTACGTGCCGCGCAGGCCGGGCGTGCTGTTTAAATTTGACCACCGCCGCGTCGTCGCTCGCGCAAAACCAAATTGCTCGGGCGCGCGAGTCTGGAATTATCGGCGCGTCGGCGAGCGCAGAACCGCCGCCGGGCCGCGTCGAGGGAAACGCAATCGAACGAGCCGGCGAATAATTATCGGCACTCGAAAACAGTAAAATAAGATAATAACGCCGCTGGTCTTGTCGAATTCCATCGGGGCACGCGCGATCGAATGCTGCCGCGCGCGCAACAAAGAACGCGCGCGATTAATAAATGATGAAAGCGCCCAAGCAGTAAGCCGGTAATTAATGGCGCTCTCATTAAAATAAAAAGCGAACCACGGCGCGACGGTGTACGGTACAAATTAAGCGAACGAGCTCGCGCGAGTGAGAGCAAAGTAAGACAAGGTGCCACTCATATTCCCTGGCGCTCTCCGCTGCGCGCCTATAGCGCAATCCCATTACACGACATTCAATGTTGCATACGCGAACCCTATAAAACGTATAAACTCAATTAATATTTAACGCTGTTTGCTTTGGCTTATGATTAATTGCCCTCGACTCGAATCCGCTCTCCTTTTGCTTTGGCGCTCGCACGACTGATTAATCGACGCCGCGCCCGATTCGCGAATAATAATTTTTCAATTGTCCGCTTAATGGCCGACGATTAAAAACTTTTACGAGCCCGATATTGATGGGAAATTCATTTGTATCGCGTCGTCCAAGGAAAAGTGCCCGAACGTTTCATTATTATACGTTATAACGACGACTTTTCGGCGCGTAATTGCCATTTGTACGTATTGATCGATGCCATGTGTTTCCTCGCCCTCTTTCTTTTTTTTTATCACTGACGCACACGCGCGCTTCCTTGAATTTTTTCGTTTTTTTTTTGTTTCATTTCAATTTATACCCGTGCAAATGTTTGCGTAACATTAACGATTTGACTGGAGTTTATTGATTTGTCGCCGCAAGAACTTTCTAAAAATGCCGGGATAATATTTGCAATGCCGAAGGTGTATTGTAGTAGGCTCGACAATATAACGTTTGCACAGGTCACGACCTTGTTCCGTTTCATATTCTCGGGGCTCTTTTTACTCCGTTCACTTACCTATCGAATTAAGCAAATACCTGTGCGCGCAGTACAGTCGCTACCGTGATAAGATAAGATAACAAGGCCGCCGTCAGCGACGTTTTGCGCGTTCACTAGTTGCAAAATTAATAAACGCTCTTACAAGCGACAGATCTAATTTTCATACGAAATTGCCAGGTAGAGCATCGAAGCGTGGGAAGCGAAAAAAACACAATGCTTACCGCTCCAACTCCTTGAACAATTCGCCTTGCAAATTTGTCTTTAATGGCGCAGATTATTATTCGACGACGGTCTATCCTCCAACTTTTCTCTCGCTCTCTTGAGGTCGAATGGTCATCCTCGGGCCTTTTTTGTTTCGTTGTTTATCGCGTGCGGTTTTTCGGTTTTTCGATATGGCATTGATCCTACTGTTTCCTCGTGGTGAAACGAATACAAAAAAAATAAAAGAGACGATTTAACTTTTTTTGTACTTACATCAAAGAATAATTGAATCCCGACTTCTCGATATTCCAGACATTCTGATTGATTTTATAATTTATTCGCTGTGCAGACAAAAAGTTATATAACGCCAGTCTTTTTTTGAAATACGAAAAAAATAATAGCTAACCAAAATTATTACGTTTGGTTTCGATCGATTAGTTTCGAAATTATAGATAATTTTTAATTAGCCTTGATAATTCTTTAATGACGCCAAGGAATTGACTATATTAAACACATTTTTACTTACGTATTTAGCTATTACTAATAATTGCTCAAAACTAACTCGTAATCGCGTAAAACTTTGTCGTACGAAAAATATTTCATAAAGAAAAAAAAACGTGTATCGCACAATAACTATTTTAACATATTCACGATTATTTTACGATTTCCTACATACCTTTATTTTCTCGTTTAATCACACAAATAAAAAAATCAGAATTTCTTGTCAATTTTCTTCATCGCGTGCAATAAAGTATTATAAAAATCGGCCAAGTCAGAAAATAAGGACACGGTGACAATAAGCAATGATGACGCATATTTATTACGATATATAAAATGCGATTTACCAAGTAGCCTCGTCGGCATAACTAAATGGATTCATGTTCAAGAGAGACAAGAAGATAGTATCGCTGTAAACGGATTTGCCAAATTGAATAAATCGCGACGTACATTTTTTTCTTGTTCACGTGTATGATCCAATTTGATACCTCTCGCTCGCAAAATCTGTCTTGTAGCTTACTCTCGTGGCAAGTTTTCGGAAAAATGTGTCGTCGATTAACTCATTGCGTAATTCACAATGTCTTGTATCGAAAGAATAAAAAAGAGATAGATAGTGGGGGGGGGGGGGGGATAGAAGTCAATGAATAATGCGCAGCTTGGCAAAAGTAGTACAAACAAAGGCGCTACTTCCTAGTCGAAATTATACAATTGTGTTCGATTATATAAAGGCGCATGCAAAATTCGCAAAGTGCAACGGCCGGTGTGTTTTAACCGATAATTAGTGGAGGTTTATTTTCTCTGGCACAATGAATGATGTTTATTACTCTTTTCACGTCGATTTGTCATTGATCAAGGAAATTCGTCATATCTCTTATCGATATATCCATTTTTTTTTGTAAATCGTCGCGATCGTTGATGTTCGTTTGACAACATGGATTCTCTGATGTCATGCCGTTGAAATATATCAAATGATATCATCGTCCGTCAACTTTCCAATCTTGCACTTTTTTATTCGCTAATCTTCCATGATAGATTAGCCGTGGTAATGGCGAAAAAATTACGACGCTAACGTTTATTAAATGTTGCTCTCGTTAATTTATAAGGCTTTTGTTTATTTTCAAGGAACTTTGTCCGATGTACGTTAAGCTTGTTTTAATTAATTAAAGTCGTTAATTTATGTTCTTCTTTTTTTAACGTTGTATTTGACAATCGATAAACTCGGTATTTTATTGCAAATGTTAGAGACAAACTTAGATGGACTCTCGATACAATCATCAATTAAATAAACATTAGGCTGATTAATAAAGAGATATAATCGTTTTGATAACGCGTGTTTCAATAATGAGAATTTTTATTTTTATGAAAACACCTTGGCACTTGAAATAAAATCAGCTCACAATGTATTTCCGTCGCTGTCACGTGACGATTAAATAAAAATAAAAATGATTTGTCTTTGTTCCAGCCTCAAAATCTCGTGTTGACCGGCGACTTTCCAGACTGTGATGTGAAGCTCTGCGACTTTGGGATTTCTCGATACATAAGCCAAGGCGCAGACATCCGCGAGATCCTCGGAACACCCGATTACACCGGTAAGTTTTCGTCGTCGTCTTTTCATAGAGAACCCTCTTCGTCGTCGTCGCATTGCACGATTGTATTGTCTGCGTCACGTTTTAAACATCGCCTCATGCATTATTAAACGAAGAGCCTCCCGTCTTTTTTTCTTACAGCTCCGGAAGTACTGAACTACGAGCCGATAAGCCTCGCAACGGACATGTGGTCTGTGGGCGTCCTACTCTACGTGCTGTTAACTGGCTGTTCGCCTTTTGGCGGCGACACCAAGCAGGAGACTTTTTGTAACATCAGCCGATGTAAGCTTGACTTCCCGGACGACCTCTTCGAGGAGGTCTCTGAGGAGGCTCAAGATCTCATACGCCGACTCATTGTCAAGAATTCAAGGTAAAAAGGAGACATCATGTATTTTCGGAAACTCGTGTGTTCTTAGCAGTACTAAACGCATTCCATGCATTTCTTTTTTTTATACGTAACTGCATCTATTTATAGTCTCACTTAAATATATTAAGTGACGGTGTATAATTCCAAGTACTCTGTACAATACAATTGTTCGAATTACCATAAAAAGTTGACAAAGCAGAATTGAAAATCACACCGAGGAGAGTTATAGAGATAATAACTTTTAGAAATATATGAAGTAGATAATGTGCGTTTGCAACTTCCTTCTGTGTGAAAGATACGAATATTATCAGGCATCTTTCACCGCGATAAATAAAGCATTTTAATCAGTAAAAATGTCTCACAATCAATGCAATTTTTTTTCATTACAGCGAACGTCTGTCAGCAATGGAATGTTTGCAACATCCCTGGCTGAGCAAATTCGATGATATGGCTTACTCGCTGTCTCCGGCGATCTCGGAATCAGGCGAGATCCTAGAAGCACCCTGTGATACAACCTCCTCGTCGTGCTACTCGTCTGCGTCGCCAATGCCCGAAGAAGAATCTTGTACACCATCGCCGATTCTTGTCGATTCGTTCGACGAAGAAGAAACGGCACGTGACGATAGTCCAGAGCCTGAGTTTGCCGAGAACGAAGCAACCATGCAAACGGTGTCGGAATGCGAGGAGAGTGTGACGGGCGATACTACCAGTACTATTCGTATCAATGATTTACTGGAAGTACCAACTGTGACGACGCATGAAGTCGTCGAAATCTATGACAAAGAAGAAGATGCAAAAGAGGAACGACGAGAGAAGGTGCGGAAAGAGGAAGAGGAAGAAGAAGAGATGTCGGCTACGCAAAGCGATACTGGCAACAGTACCATCGACGATGAGTACTCGTATATATCCTCTCGTTTAAACTCCACCTTCCCTCTGACATCATCATCTTCGACATCGACGTCATCAACAAGGCATCACTTCAGTGGATTGTCATCCGAACGTCGAAGTAATTTTAAGAGGAGTATGGATTTTCTAGCGAGAAAATTCTCCGCTAGTACCGACTTGCTCGAGGTATTCGACGACGTACTTGGCATGGACACTTCATGCAGGAGATCGTCGGGTAAGCAGCTTATTTTCTTTTTTTTGTGTTCGTTTTGGAGTAAATAAAGTAGTACTAGCATGGTGATGCATCATAGCAGGTGTTTTTTTGCTTCTACTTGAAGTGCAAGATTTAGTCAACAACGCCTAATCAGTTAATTAATAGGCTCCTTTTACCAGTTAATTACTCTGGGTATTTAGATGATTAATCGATACGACGCGTGTGTTTAGTCATATGCAATGCGTTTCTTTTCTCTCTGTAAGTGAAAAGTTTTGCCAATGACATGTGTTCTTTTTGAGTATTGACAGGTTATTTTACTTTGTAATGTTTTTTTTCGCGTTCTCTCACTCTACGATTGTCGTAAAAAAAAGTATTTTATGACCTGTTTTGCACTGCATTTTTTCTTGTTTGCATTTGAATAAGAGCCTATTGTGACGACAATCGCTTTAACGTCTTTCTCTGTCTTTTCTTTTTGCCAATTCTAGTGAGTGCAACGTCATCTTCGGTGAGCGAAGTTTTCAAATGTTCGCCAGTATTTATACTTGGCGAAGAACAGCAATGCAGCGACAGTGGTTCAGATACGGTATCCGAAATATCTACCGACAGTTCGTCCGATCGTAGTAGCATCTACTCGGACGATTCGCTAGATTTCATTCTGTACGGCAAATCGAGTCAGCAAGCTGGTCGGGCGAGCTTTCCATTCAGTGCGAACGAAAATCAAAGTTGGAAACAACGCACCGGAAGTACCAGCACCGGAAGTATGCGAAATGCACCTCGCGTATGGCCACGCGAATGCAATGGGGTTGTCAGCAAGGCGCTCAGTCGTTTCACCAGTGCCACCGATCATCATTTTAGCCACCTGAGTACCGGCAAGTCGAGCATCGGCGTTAGCTCGAGCTCCAGTAGCACTAGCAGCATTACTCTTACGACGAGCTCGACGACGAGAAGTGAGTACTTAAAAAATTTAGTTTTAGTACCACACATGTATCGGTTCTGTTATCACGGTTATTTGCAAAAACAAAATTTTTTAGTGCCACTTATAAAATGTAACAGTAACAATTTTTAACGGTTTGCAATTTTATCCTGAAGAATTGATTAAAGTTTATCACATTTGTTTTAGTCGAGCGAGAGGAACGTAATTCATATCATGTCGAGCATTACACTCAATCTATTTTCAAGAAAAAAAGTCTTTTATACATTCTCTTGAATCACATTTTCAGTTATTTTCTCGAAATAATACTTCAAATAAACACAAGTCTTTTAAGTTTTATCCTAACTATAACGTTTCCGTTTGTTTTTTCAGCGAGCACGACCCGTAGCATAAGTGGACTGGAAGCGCTGCGTAATCGAGGCGAAAACCTAGTGGTGATACGCGAACCAGTGAGAGCTGGCCGTTACATGCGTTACAGCGAAGTACAGTGCGAGTCGGTGCAAGCGAGGATTCGACGATTCCAAGTGCACGGCTCGTCGTAAATGTTGTTCTTTGTTATTCATCTTTTTGTAAATTATAAATCGACATCCGCGACACTTCACATTGTACATAGTAATAATTTCGAGATGTGTCGTTGCGCCGATCTTTAAACTAATTTAAAAAATATAAACGCTAGCTCCGTGTTCGTCCCTCGAGCGCAAGGTTTTCTATTTCGACGAAAAAAATAACGAAATAGCAATTCAAATATATATTTTAGTTTGTTTAAATTTCAACAGGGTCATATCTGAAGGATGCTACTTTAATTTTTTTTCGTAACTTGTGCTCGAGGCGAAGTCAAACAGAGTGTGTGTATATAGATTTATGGTTGCGCGCGCGAATGAAGGAGAGTTAGTGTGTCACGTATGTATTTCATGTGTTCAAAAAATAGAGTGAGAGAGAGACACAGAGAGAATGTGTGACTTATATTGAGAAATATGTGCGGATGGACAATCCAAGATGTTTGCCGGTTATCCTCGATAGAGACTTAGAGACTGATTTACCTTCAAACCTACCCGCCTAAATGCATACAGACCCAAACTTTTCTTCGGCTAACACTTAAAATTGTTGTAGTTCGAAGTAATAGTGCCTTTTGCTAATCGAATAAATCAATCATTATACATTTTCTGTGAGAAAAAATCGAAAGCACAATCACGCGAATCGAACGCACAGAATCACAATGTTCATTTTGCCATTCAGGGACTACGATATCTTTAATTTTTTTATACATAGATGATAACTTGTAAATATGATGAACCCTGAATGAAAATTACATATCGTGCCTCGGTCAAGCGCGTTGTGCCTTTATATAGCAAAAGGTAAAAAGATAGAGAAAAAGAAATAAATAGAGGAAAGCAGTCTTTGATGTCAAAGAATGAAACGAGATAAAGTAATATTCTTTGAGGATCCTTTGTGCATAGTGTATGATGTTGCGATCTCTTCGAAAGTATCTTGCAGTTCTTCATCTATTATAAACATGTCAGTGCTGTGTCTCAGTACCGTACACGACTTGGTGGCGAATATGGAAAGAGACTTTATTCATTATTTATTTTTCTTCGAGTATTTGTGTATAATCTTAAACGCTCGATTGGCGAATGGTTGATTCCTTGGTTGGAAAAAAAAACAATTTCAAATGTAAATTTTAATAAGGAGACTTATTAAAACAAAAACCTGTATGTATTTGAAATTATTTTTCTGAACGTGGAAAATCGTTTAATCGAGCTTTGTATGACTGCAATCACGTGGTGTACGTTGTTACTTTCAAAAAGGAGCATCTGTACTTTAAAACAAAAGAAAATGAAAACTATACTTACTAGTCATATAATTTCCGAATCACTGAAATGCTATGAGCATATTCTTTTTCGCTTTGTATCTACTTATTATTATTATTATTATTATTATTATTATTATTATTATTACTATTATTATTATTATTTTCGTGTGTGCGACTACACGAGCTCATTGGTCGAGCAGCTAACGAGCGACGTTGTAACGCTTTTTCTTTCTTTCATTTTTGCAAATTGTAGCTACAGCTTCATGTACTAATAACTATTCGAGTGACATTACCTATCCTTTTGGCAGGATAGTGGTAAAATGTAAGACGTTGTGATTTTTTCTTCATTGCAGTGAAAATTTTTTGCAAAAAGAAAATTTCATGCCAGAAACTTAAACAAAGAATTTGTGATTCTGATTTTTTTTGAGTATTTATCGCGGACGTATTCTACAAATGGTATGAAAGTATTTTGTGATTAATTTAATTATAAAATTTAAATTATTTATAAGATAAAAGAAGAGAGAAAAAAAATCGTACTATACATATTTATATCCCTCCTAATCATTGAATTATTCGTCATAAAGAAGTATTAAAATAAGAATTATTTCTTACTTTAGGAATTAGCGAAATAGTATTCGTCACAGAATTCTTTGTTTGAACTCGAATGTCACATTGAAGAATGTGTCTATGAGGAAAAAACAAATATAGATAATCAAATGCATAAAGAATACGTTTGTGATGCAAAGAGAAACTGATATCCAATACTTAATTGCCATCATTTTGTTAAAAAAACTGCCGCCACCAAGTTGTCTGTGTGTGGATCCCAATAAGCATTTAGCAAAGTCACAGTCACGAGCGTGAACTCTTCATAAAGAGTCGGCCGACACAGCATAAAAGAAGGCAGGGTTGGGCACACTTAATTACTTCGGAAAAAACGGCTTTTGTTTACCTCGCATTATTGTTTTGTAGGAAGTAATTATATTGCTTGAATATTTTAATTTATGCAAAATATAATTATCCATGTGAATTACTATATATTTGTAGAGTCGTTATTCTTGTTTATTTTATTTTGTAAAATATCAAAATTTACTCTATTTTTTTTAATATACGTTTATTTTATCAAATTTTATACGTAATTCTATCTACTATTACTCGATGCACATACATGTTGCAAATATAATATTATGAATATGCTTCAATTTTTTTACTCGTATGCTACTGTTTTTTTAATTTTGTGTACTTTTACACTAATCAATATTTTTTTTTATGTATATTTTTGTGTATGTTTTCTAAAGAGAAAAAATTGATTTTCCATGAGTGATAATTTATGTAATGATAGAGCAAATCAATTAGTAAAACCATTGTAATGAGAATCGTAAAAGTGAAGGTGCATCTAACGAGCATGAAATTGTTTTACTTATATACGCGAGTATTTAAACGCGTCCAGATGAAACTCGAGCGGTTGCAAAAAAAAAAAAAAATAATTCAAACAATATTTAGAAAAATCACCATCACGATGAATGAAACATTTTTCTGCAGTAATTAAGTATGCTTAGCGCCAGACTTTCTCAGAGACTACTCTACTCAAAGCGGACGCGCGGGTGCACACAGAGGCGGTTCTTTATACAGTAAAAAAGGCCAAAGAACAGCCCTCTTTTTATATGCGCAATGCGCAAGCTATTCGTAGTTGTTTTTTTTGTATCTTCCGCTTTATTCACCCGCCTTCTGCGCCTTTTACGTCCGTCCGAGTCGCTTTTTCCCAGTTTTCTCTGAGAGGTTTTGTATGAAGCGAATGTACTTGTCATTGCCATTGTCATCGTGCGATCCACACAAAACAATACATACATACACACAAACAGACCTTTATCGCTAGCGTCAATTATTATGTATCGAAAGAGCCAATGCATCTCTGTTGTAAATGTATTCAAGCAGACCTGTGTAAATATTTTCGATTTAGATTACTATTATAATTTTAATAATAATATACAAATAAATAACATAATTATTTCAAAAAAAATGTTCAAGTCCATTTCCCTATCAAATTTGTTTTAGCTGCCTTTCATAAAATAAAAATCCGTCAGATTAATTAAATGGATTTCTCTACTGTTAAAAATGGTATACATGCGTACACCCGACGTTGTGAAATGCGTTCAACGAGCGAGTATGCTATTTTCTCGCGTGTACGCAGAGCACATTACCCTTTAGAGCTGTGTCCCTTAATCGCTGAAAATCGATTTCGCTATTGCACCAGGTAGAGGGATAATTCGTTCGCGCCTTATGTATATATGTGTCCCCGCGCGCGCTACGTACACACGGAAACAGCCGCAAGACAAGCTGCAAAGCGAGCGAGCCTACGTTACGGTAAATGAGAAGGAGAGAGACAAATAAAAGGAGATCTCCGTGGCGACATTAGATCATCAAGTCGCGTACTCGTGTACAGTTGCTCAAGGCTGCACGCATCGTACGCACGGGATTCTATACTCGTCAATGAACATTTCACACTGCAGCACTGCGCGCTGAAACAATGAATCAATGTAGCGTCGTTGCTTTTTCTACGGAGAAACATGCCAGGGAGGGGAGATAAAAAAATTACGAATGTACGTACCGGCTTATTTTCAGGTGTACGCAATTGATTACACCTGCTTCGTAAGCGTTACGTTCCCCGAGCCGAATAAAAATTCCGAAGCATTAAATGTTATGTTGCCGAACGACTGTGAAATTTTATTATATTCAGAATATTGTTGAGTAGCGCACGCGTGCCTGTGTTGCCGTATTCGGAATACATACATGATGTTTTGTTGGGCCAACTAACAGCAAGCAAAGTAATTCAGTTTTTTCACGCAAAATAAAAAATCGTCGTTTGTGATTATTAGAGCTTCGTTAATTAAAATTAATTTCGACGCTTCGATATTTGAAACGACGAGTTTTTTTCTCAAGGCTTCGAAAGTTTGAGAATATTGAAAGTAGAGATGATAATTCTTTCATTTTCATAGCTAAGTAATTTAAATATGCGTATTATCGCGCAATAGCCAGTATTTTGTAGTCAGCATTCGTCGTATATCCACGCCTGCGCTAATGAAATGTTAAGCGTGACATTTAAATGTATGAAAATGAAGATCGAAAATATGATCATACTCGGCTTTCCCGCAGCGTGTAATAAAAAAGGATTCGGGACGTGGTCCGCGTCGAATTGCCCCTCGGTAAGGTCGCTCGGTGCACTCGTATCCTCCGCGAAGAGAACTTTCAGGAAAAAAATACAGAGACAAAGCCGCCAGCAGGTTACCGCGCGAGCAGCATTAGATCAGCGCACAAGCGCAGAGAGCGAATTGCTGTCCCGCGGCGACCTTGCACCTCGCTTGGCCCTGCTCGCTCGCCTTCCACCTACTCGGCTCTGTGGCTCGGAGAGACACCGAGAAAGAGAGAGAGAGAGAGAGAGAGAGAGAGAGAGAGAGAGAGAGAGAGAGAGCGAGAGAGGAAAAAACGATCGCGATCGAAAAGTCCCCCAAACGTTCTCGACGCACCAAGAAGGACACACACACGTTGATTCGCTCGCTCCACTGCTGCTGCGACTCGCTCGGTTCAGTTTGGAGTCTCGCGCTAACGCGCGCGCTCGGGAATGCTACCAGGATGATTTACAACCACCAGGCGCCGACCATGTCGTCGGCAAGCAAGACTTCACCACGGCCGAGGCATCGCAACTTGACGTCCAAGCAGAACAAGCCAACCAGACAGCAGACTGGCATACGCAGTAGCACCAACACTTATAATAATCAATCCGATCGCTGCCGCGGTAGATGCCGTGTTCAATGGAGCGAGCAACACGTCAAGGAAGGACTGGTGCTCGTGCAAGAGGCTCAACTCGCCAGAGTTGTCAAAACTGGCCCTATTACCGAGCACTACGACATCGAGCCGAAACCCTTCGCAAGGTGAGTTCTCTCTTAACGTGGACGCGTTTTGCGAACGTATGCGACGGCTTTCAACACCCTTCGACGCGTATTCTTATGTACGGAGATGTCAAGTTCTCTTTCTCTCTCTCTCTCTCTCTCTCTCCTCTTTACGCGAGGTCCAGTGCGAGCGTTTTGCAAGCGCGACAAAGCGTTGCGACTACTTTTTCTTCGACTGTTTATTGTTCGGGGTATACGATCGGCCGGGTTCAAGACTTTCCATCGTGACGATGCCAAAGAGAAAACGGCACAGCGAGCCGAGACAGAGATAATTTCTCATTTTGGCGCTTAGCTCTATTTACGCACACACGTGTGCGAGTGCGCGAGTGCGCGCGTGCGCGCGTGGCCCATACGTCCGATGACGAATCTAGGTTCTCGATCTACATCGGATTTGGTCAGTTTACCTCGCGCGCGATTAACATTGAATTAAGACGTTTTTACGAGCCAACTGCTCTGAGGCTAGCAAGAAATATCGTTGAGAAACACTGACCGTACTCCGCTTCAACAATTAGCGGATATATCGGCTTTCTATGTGTGTATTTTGTTTTCCGACTTTACTGTGTGTGTGCGCGAGCGCGTCAATTAATTATACATCGGCGCAAGTGGAAACGGGACGAGTTTAGTCGGACGCCGTTGTGTGTCAGGTTTTCAAAGTCGAAGGGGAAAAGAGATCCGGTAGCGCGGAATAATGGAAGCTAAGTCGGCAGTAATGAAGCACCCCGACAGCTCAATGGCTGCGGTGATAGTCGGACGCCGTCTTTAATGGACCGTTAAGAACGTATGTCTTCTGGCTGTCTTTTTGCTCTTTCTTTCTTTCCTTCCTTCGCGATAGCCAAGATCAAGAGATGCAGCAGTCCCGTCGAGAAGCTGGGCTACAACTTTTTTTTCTTTATTCCACTGATAAGGTTGAGTTGCCTTGTTTTACCTCCTCGTATCCTTTACGCACGCGGTTTGCTCGATACGCGTATCTGCAATTTTTTCGCGAAATTGTCAACGAGATATTTTTCGTTATGATTTGTAGTTAGAGTTGGAAACTAGCAAATAAAAGTAACGAGAAATTGCAAAATTTTTGGGCGAAAAAAAATAACGGCGACAGCCGACGCTTAATCTGAGAAAATAAAACTGGCACAAAGCCATGCACGTTATTATAGCTGTATATAATGCGATAAAAAGAAACAAGCTATCGAAGTAAAGCAAACGTATGCGAATAGCGCGATAGAGCACGCGTGTTAAAAGGCAAGTCATCTAGCGTATAACCGGAATGGACGCGCGCGATGCGCCTTCGGTCAGAAAGCTCATAAATCAAGCGATCTATCAGGAAAAATGCTGTCTCATATTTTTCTTGCGCGACACATCGGAAAGTGTGTCGTATAAGTCTCGCTTATAAAATGTCACTACGCTCAATCGTCGCCTCGTCGGCTTTCTGATCTTGTTGCATAATAATAATCGCGATACCACTTCGCTTCTGGTTATTATCGCTCGCTGGTTTTCTCGCATCTCGTCGGATTTTCTTTTTTCACACTTGACGACGCGTCGAACGAGAAACCGCAGGTCAAAGGATGCGTTGTAGAGGAAGAGCATGTGGTGTACGAGAGCGAGAGAGAGAATGAAAATTATACACGTACAATATAAAAAGTCGGCCTTGCGAGGCGCCCGGCGCCGGCCTTGCACTCCGAGTGGGAGGCCCCTCGTGCCGGAGAGGCACACGCCGACGGATCAAACCGCTAAGATTCGATCGAGGGCGTATCGATTTTTTAACAATGATCGAGAGAGAGAGAAAGAGAGAGAGAGAGAAAGAGAGGGAGCCTGCCTCTAAAAATAGACAACCAGAGAGATCCATGAATACGAGAGGACAATATGTCGCAAAGGAATATTTTAGAGGTTGCGCTGCGACGTTACGTAAAAAATCACCGAGAGTATGGGCATGTGCACAATGGATGAGATTTGCAGCGTGGCGCTTGCCGACTGTCGTTGCGAGGCGATTATTATGCCAGAGTTATGTTGATGTACTGTTAGCGAACGATCTTTCTTCGTATTCAACGACATTTTCTTTCTGGCCGTTTTTTCTGGTCGATTACAAGGGTACACTAACAATTAGTGAAATATTTTTTCGATCAAACTTGTTTCGCTTGGCCGAGTGTTTTTTCCTTTCGTCGGCAGCGCGTGAAAGCGTTTTACGATTCTGTTTTTTTTTTGTTTGAATCGATGTGACGAAACAACATACTATGATTGAATAATGCAATCAAATTTTATAAGGTTTCATTTCGAAATTTATTATTCGAATTCTAATTTATTATATCGCGATACTTTATTGCGAATAAAACATTCATGACACAGCGTAATTGTTCAAACGTTGGAAACTGACGTTGTACATTCCACTTATCTTGAAGTGATGAAGTATTAATAATGAGGTATAATATATTCACAGCTATTCAGAGCTTATTTTACCTCAAAAATCTAGTTTGTAAAAAAAATTTGCTGCGATCGTCATTTTAATTTTTTCGTTTTATCTACAACTCCAAAAATTACCACTGCGCAAGTCACATCTCCAAATTGGGCACGTCGAAAAATGTTTGAATCACAGCAGGAAACACGAGTTGAAAAAATACAGTAATTCCTTCAAACGTCGTTAGTGCAGGACGTATTTTCCGCTCGCACGGCAGGAAAAACACGCAAAAGGTTTTAAAAGAAAACGAGCGCGCGCGCGGTTGAATCGAAAATGGTCAGTTTGTTCGTTTTTTTTCCGACCTGCAGGTACTTTTTCAGACATCCCCTTTGTCTACGTAGTTTTACGCGTCGCACGCTTGACAGCACTTCCGAGTGTCAACTCTGCACGTCTCGCGAACCCGGAATCCCTCTCTCTTGTTTGCTTCTACGAGCAGTGTTGGAGGACGACAACGGGTCCCTTCCGTACAAACCGCAGACGCTCGCGTGTTTAAAGAAAAAGAAGAAGTATAGCGATACGCGAAATAAGCCTTTGTCTTTTCTCAATTCAACTTATAGATATGTTCAGTGGCATTTCTCCATAGTGATAATTAATTTTAACGAAAACTTGCGGTGTGATATATATCGCTGAACATATCGGCGCTCGACGCTATCTCCGTAATGTAAATGGATATTTATCGCTTCCTCGTGGTGGTTTTTTGGCCTGCACATACGTTTGTTCGAATGCATCGCGTTTCTTTTAATGAATGTTCTTTGTTGCTCGAGCGGTTTAACGGAATCCGCTGCAGTGTGGCCTCATGACGTCAGATTAAAAAGCCCGTGTGTCGCGCTCATAATTAATGGCGACAATTATGCATTATTACGTTTCACATTACTCGACACTGCGGAGAAGGTTTAACATTATAAAAATTACCGTAAGAGAGCGTACGAAAATTAAAAATTGATTTAACAAGACGGATGGAGGTCACTTAACGCTCGGCCAATTTACAACTTACAACTTCACATTGATATAAGTAAAAAATCTCAGCAAAGTTTGAGAAACTCACGATATTTTGATTGCGCGACTGATAACTATTTTGATATTTAAACTATTACGAATAATTGGAATGAGAACCGTTTGGATCAAAAGTCGAGACTTGGACAATGAAGCTTTGTACAATGCGGGTACACGAACAACTTGAAAAATGATCGTGCGACCCGTTAGAGATAGATGCATAATACCGGATCTCGGGAACAAAGGAGGATGATGGTGAAAAATAAACGTTGAAATGATTCGTAATTGTTATAGCGGTCAGTGGGCTCGCGTATACAAATGCCGATCCCGAATAACCGGCAGCGTATACGCAGCGAAATTTTCGTCACGCAACCGCTTCAACGCTGACTGCAGTGCCGAGCTACGTCACGAGATAGCACTTTTGTCGTTATGCTCGCAATCGCCACGAGTTGTCAGGCTACACGACGTCTACGAGACACCAAAGGAGATCATTATGGTCATGGAGTTGTAAGTATGCGCGCGATGAGCATCATCGTGATGGTCGAGCGAGGCGGACGGCGCGAAGGGTAAGCGTTGCATCACTCGTCATAAACGACTGCGCGTAACGAAAAGTAATCGAAGCTTTTGGCTCTATATCGGTAAGACCCGTTCACTCCCGAGACAATCAATTATTCATGAAGACGTAGACTCTTCTGGCCCATTGCTAATCGATTTTTAAGTGCGACGTGACGCGACTTGGAACTGTACACACTCGATTCCGGGATTCGGCGTTATTTCTAGGAAATCAGCCGACCATCCGATGAATCCATCTTGTTTTTGTTTCGAACGTCGCCCCGCGTACTGAATATTTCATGCCGGTCGCGGTTCCTCTGGCTGCGCGCCAATTCTCAGCTCGGCTAAGCGAATATCGAATTGAACATATACTTTGGGCAAGGCCGGGAAAGTCTCGATATGCGCTCGAGAGGACGGCGAGCTTTAACGATTTGTCGCGCGACTTCGCAGTGCGAGAGCGAGTGTTTTCTTTGAAATGCAAACGAGGAGGTGAATTCCCTTTTTCAGAGGCCGCGCTAAAGCCGCTAAAGCCGCTAAAGCCGCTAAAGCCGCTAAAGCCGGCGACGCAGTCTTTGTTTTAAACGCGGCTCGACTTCTCGCGCCAGTTTGCCTTATTCTTCGAATAAATTATTATCGAGTTTCCGTACGCGAGAACTGGGTATACTTGTTCGCGATGTGCACTTATCGGATATGCGGATCGGTTGGTTAGTTGCCGTGCGCTACGATCGAATTTCACGGGTCGCGGGGCAATATTCATCACTGGGCGCTAAGCATCGGTCTGTCGCGCCTGTTGTGGAAAATCCACTCGAACAGTTCGCTCGGCGTTCCAGTGCACCGGGTGGCGATTTGCAGACGTTGATAGACGGCGACCTGGTGCCACTGGAAGGCGACGTGGTCCACTTTGTGAGGCAGCTGGTGGAAGGACTGGCCTACCTGCACGAGCGAAACATCGCCCATTTGGATATCAAGGTGAGTGCCCTCCTTAAATGGACAACCGGCCTCCTCTTCTTCGACGAACGCCGCGAGATCTACGCTCGATCGCGGCGGGCGGACGATCGCGCGTATACGTGCGCCAGGCACACGCATAAAACGCATTGTGCCAAGGTCGCCCCGCGCGGCAAACGCTTGCGCAAGTCGTGCCGAGACCCGCGCCCTCGCGTCCAATTTATTTATACGCTCGTGCGTCGCGGAAGAGCAAAAAAAGGATGCTGTAATAACCATTAAGCGAAAAAGCAGCCGCAAGTTTTTCAGGCTGATCGCTGTGTTTACCTGCGAGCGCTTGCGCCGCTTTGTCTTGCCTGCGTGAACAAGGAGAGCCTTGAGTTATGCTATGCGAATCACGACTTTTCGCCGTAGAGCAGCAATTAGAATCTGCAGTACCTACTTCGGGCTAATTTTAGATTAACTTTCTTTGTGCGGTTTCGTTCGCGTCGACACACGACCGATGGCTCTATGGAGAATTTTTATGCGATATCGCGTTTGGATGATGAGATAGCTGTCGCAGGAAGTGCGCAGCACAATTATCTCCACCGCAGTCCGCGGACAGAAGGCTTAACAAGCGTATCCAGTCGATTCGCATTGGCGTCTAACGCACAGCCGCCCTAAAGCCCGAAATGGAAGAGAGCTATCGTTTACTCGCCAACTGTCTTTCTTATAAATACGATGCGCGACCTCGCGAGCCGAGGTCGACTTGTCATCCTTGTGCGCGCGATTGCGCGCGATTGCGCGTGATTGCGCGTGATTGCGCGTGATTGCGCGTTATTGCGCGTGGGTCAATGTGCGCATATCTGGCGTATACAAAGCCTCGTGAACTGCAACCTGCCTCTTTTCCTGTGAGATCGCGATGCGATGCGTACGTCGCGGCCGCCGTCGCCGCTGCGGGGCAATGGAACTTCACGTCAACGACCTTGCGATTAGAGACGCGCCGCTCGCGCTCGCTGTAAGGCCGAAGACCTTCAATGAACGACAGAGTTCGTTGTTCCTTGCCGCCGTAGTCGAGTGCTCGTGCGTATTGTGTGCGCAATTTTCGGCGATACAACGCTGCCTCTCACCGAGTCTCTCCTTTTTCCGTTTGTTCGCGGGCAAATTTTAACGAAGATTGAATGAGATCGCGTCTGGCGCTGATGTACAATCCCTATTAATCTTTCTTTCATCGATCATGTTTCCGTTCATGACATACATACTCAGTGTAATCCATGTCCATGCAAAATTAGTGAAAAAAAGATAAATGCGAGTCTTGTTATATGCGAAAGTATTAACAACGAGAATTTACACGCAAGCAAAGAAATTCAATATCCTTCTCACGTTACGAGTAAAATTTTCAATAAAATGCCGAGTAAAAGCACCACTAACCACTCCATAAACGCATGCGGGCTTTCATCGCATCTAAATTACCGAAATATAATATACGTTAGCATTGGTGTGTGGTAATTCGCAAGAGCGAGAGAGGGAGATATCATTTCGCAGCTGTTAATCTCGATCGGCGCTGAGTTTTTATGGGCAATGCACGTGTGTGTCAATCGGTGCGTGCGCGAGCGCATTAAAGCGCAACTTGAATGGTCATTACACTTATAGATATATATAACTCGCGCGGCTGCGCCAGTTTTCTTCATATTTCCCTAAGACTCTACTAATATGGTAACGGGTGCACTTGATTATTGCGTTGTTCCTGGAAAACGTCATTTTTCGTTATTTTCTCGAATGAAGTTGTGATTCTAGCTACAGATTATTTCTATCCCTAGATATTTTCTACTTTTAATCTACCGTGCGTCTTTCTAATTTGAACGTTGTAAACCCAATCAGTTTTCGTAAAGTTAACTGATGAAGCCCGATGTGAAAACTCGCGAAAAAAAGAGCAATATTTCATGTACTGTCGCAACGCAGGTCGAGCTCGCTCTGAATCACAAGTGCATCGTTCAAATAAATCATCAAAGTCAGCGACTCTCAACGAGATCAAAGAGAATTAACATCAACGGCTCGCGCGCGTGCACACACACACGCGCGCGCAGACGCACGCACACACGCATACAAAGCAGTCTATTCAGAGCGACATTACCGGCAATTTCGCTCCCTCAATAATGAGCGCAGCATGACAACAATGAGTGTCGGCGCAAAACGGCTCCGAGATTTATTTCACAAGAGCAGTCCATTACTCATTGTCCGATTCTCTCTCACCGGTGAATTTTTTTTTTCAAAGAGTGGGCGAATGTGGTTACCATATGGATGAACGGCGTAGCGGCGACCGTCAAGGTGATACTCACTCGTGTTTTCTCACGCGTCACTTTCGGCTCTCCGAAGGACTCTCTTCTTTTTTCGGCAACGTATAGCTGTTTGTTGTTCTTCGCACTTTAGCTATGGGATAGCATTTGCATGTATAATTAGATGTTGCCTTTTTGCTAGGGTTTCTTTTTCATGATTTGGCTATTACGGAAAGAAACTTGAGGAATGAGAATGAGGTGAGATGTTTCCTTTCGACTATATACTTCAAAGGTCTGGGCTACTTTTGTAGGAGGTCCTCGATTATTCAATTATTTTTCTCTTTAATGTGACGAAATAAGTTAGGATTCCGTAGAATTTTGTTGTTTTATCTTACCGAATGACATTATAAAAAAAAAAAAAAGTGGCAACTTACCGACAAAGCAACTTTTAAAGACTTTTCGACACTCGCTTGTTTTCGCGGAGTATTGCCATCGGACGTTCACCATTAAAAAAGCAACGCTGAAGTTCAAAGCAATTACATTAATTATCCCGGGAGGTGCTCAGCTTTTGGTACGGGAAAAAATGCGAAGGTGAAAAATTCTGTCGCAGCAAAGAAATAATTACGACAAAAAGCACTTCTGACAGAAAGTATAAAAAAGACAGCCGTTTAAAATTAAAATGAGCCTTATGCGTAAGGATCCTTTTTGATTAATCCGCGTGTTTCCGGGCACAGCGAACTTTCACATTTCTTTAATCGATTTCGCGCCGACAGCAGCAAGGTGAACCAAAGTCGAAAGCGTCACTTTGCAATATATCGTTTGATTTATTGAATGTTGTTGCCCCACGCTGACATTCAACTCGCGCCTCCTTCTACGGCTCGAATTCTTTCTTCGTTGCCGTAGCCCTTCGATTACGGTGCTCCGGCTGTCGATCCGAACGATGCGATCACACGTGTGTAATTTGCTTTTAATTTGCTTTTAATTTGTTTTTCAGCCGCAGAATTTAGTGATGATGGGCAGCTTCCCCGACTGTAACGTGAAGCTGTGTGACTTCGAGATTTCAAGGGTTGTCCTCGAGGGCACGGAGGTCCGGGAGATTCTGGGCACACCCGACTACGTCGGTAAGTTGCGTATTTGGCACGATGTCGACGAACTCGTTTTTGCGCGAGCGCCTCTTGTGAACGCGCATCGAATCGTAATGAAGACGCGATTTTTACCACGCCAAATTTATTCCGCGTTGAATTCTAAATAGACGCGGATTTCGGGGAGAAGAGATGATGGGATCCGCGCGCCTCGAATAATTGTACTAGCGCTACGCGTGGGATCCTATTTTTACTTCATCGCAGTATCGGATGAGTATACACATATGCATAGTTTTCTTTTGTTTGCAGCTCCGGAGATTCTCCATTACGAGCCGATCACACTCGCCGCGGACATGTGGTATTATTATCTCGTCATTGTTTTTTTTATTGAGATCAGCTGTGCTTGCATGATTCAGCTGCTTTATGAATACATATCTTTCGCCAAATGTGCTATGCCTTTCGTAACAACCTCATCTATATCTCGCTGGCTGCATCTTCTTATATTTTCGCATCCTGGCGTGTGTCGGTAAAACTGAACTTGAAACGCAGGTCCCTCGGCGTAACGACTTACGTTCTACTCACCGGATTCTCGCCTTTCGGCGGCGAGACCGACCAAGAGACCTTCAAAAACATCATTCTCGGCCAAGCAGACTTTCCCGAAGAGCTGTTCGAAGACATATCGGCCGCGGCAAAGGATTTCGTCGCTCGACTCCTCGTGCTTGACCCAAGGTACACGCATAACTCGACTTGCTGTCGCACGCTCGCACTGAACGCGACGCTCGCTTTTTCGACAGTGCACGCATGACGGCGAAACAATGCCTGCGCCACGAGTGGCTTCGCCAAGCGCCGACTCAAGCGTCGGCCCATCTGCGCAAATATCTGTCCAAGTCTCGCGAAGTGCTTCTCGAGCGAGTCGTCAGTCGCGAGAACCTACGCAAAGCTGCTCTACTCGGGCAAACCGCGGCCAATCAGCTTCAACAGCAGCAAGGACAGCAGCAATGGGGTGGCAGCGAGATGTGCCTGAACAGAAGTGTCAGCATGTACAGTGACGACTACGAGAGCGGGCAGGATATGTCCTCGTCGCGGACCAGCTTGGCCGACTCGCTGTCGTCTTCGAAGAGCAGCTTAGCTATGAGCCAGAGCTGCCTGTTGAACAAGGAGCAGACTCAAGGGTTGCTGAGCCAAGCGCAGGACAGGAAATCGCTCAGGGCTAGCATGGCTCAGGGATTGAATCGCATCAGTGTGCTTTCGAAAATCAAGTGAGTACGCGTGTTGGACGCTCCACTCGGTGGACGCGCGTACGGCTTTTCCTTTATTGAACAGCACCACTTTTAACGTAGGAGCCTCGGTCAAACCCAATCGAGATCTCAAGCATGTCTGCCGCTGCTGCATGGCTCCAACGACGATCGCCGATCGATGAACGCCAGTCCTCTCCTTCACAGCTGCTACTTCAATGTCTCGCGAGAGAAGCTCTATGGCCTCAAGTCCCTGTCCAAATCCCAAGGGATGCTCGACATCTATCGCAGCCTCGAGAGCTTGCAGAAACATAAACAGCGTGATCTGCTCAAACAAAAGCAACGCTCCAAGACCGAGGACGTTCTACCCTTCTCCAGGCCGTTCGGCCACGGTTCCAGCATTGGATCTCTTGCTTCTGCATCATCGCATCCTCTTGTCGACAAAGATTCCGAGGATACCGTTTCGAGTACACAGCGGCCACTAGCTGATGATCAGGATGAGAAAACGAGCGAGAAAGAAGTTGCGCCGAGAAAGGTGAGTTGCGATTTTTATTCAAGAAGTTTTAGCTCGTTGTAATAGTTATAATAAACCGATGTCGATACTTATAGAAAGAAGATAGGGATGAGCCAGGCGCGATTATAACGACTCCGACGGTCGTGACAATGATAACAACGGCATCCGATGAAAAGAACATAGGTGAAGAAAAGCCGCAGTCAATGGATGTGGACGCTGTCGACGATGCACGCGTTCTACTAACTCACGATGGTAAGCACTCTTACAATACGTAGCTGACGACAAGTCATTTCTTTTCGTTATCGATCACCAACACGTATCTGAAGGCACAGAACTACCACACGAGATGAAAAGCACCGGGCCGTCGTCCCTCACGGTTTCCGAAACGAATTTTGACTCTCTGCAATCCATGGAATCTGACACTATGACCGACGATTCAGAAGATGCCAACACTTCTCGAAGCCTAAGTTTGAAGCAGCCAAGTTCGACAGGATCCGAGTGCCATGGCCGCGAATCACTGGAATCGCAAATCGAAGAACCTAAATTTACCGTGGCCCAATTGGTATCCGCATTTAATATGCACCAAGAGGTGGCTTCGCGTAGCAGTCTCGAGGCAATCATGACGGAGAAGAGAATAGCGGATGACTCGACCAATTTCCCCATTGGGCCTAAAGCTCTAAGATTGTTTATTCCAGATATTGATATTAGCGAGAAAAAGCCATTGGTACGAAGAAAAACTAGTTACAAGCCAAGAAAGAACTGGGAAGAGCTGCGTAAGCAGAACGAAAAAAACGAGGGTTTACTCGGTAAAGACTTTTTCAATGATTCTGGAAACGAAGAAGACGCCGAGCCTGAAGAAGAGCAACCGAAAGCATCAGAAGAGGAGGAATCGAAGGGGCCACCGATCGACACGAACATCGATGAGAAATACAAACTGTGCGTCGAAGCTGCTAAGATCAATGAGAAAAAAGCTGAAATCGAAGAGCCACCGTTGTCACCAGCATCGATCGACAGCGGAGTGAATCTCCGTGACATCCTTCGCAAAACCGACTCGTTCGAGCGCGCGCCAAAAACAAATCTGGAGAAGCTGCGCGAACGTACCAACCTGTCGAAAATGATCGTCGCCGACAAAGGACTCGCTTCGAAGATTTCCGTCTTCTCCGACAAACGCCTAGCTAAAAGTCCGACGAGATCCGATCCCAAAACACGCTTGCACAGCATAACCAAGGATAAATTGTGCACCGGCTCGTACGTCAGGGCAATGGAGAAATTTTCGAACAAGACCACTATCGAGAAACAATTGCCGAGGCTCCGGAAAGTCAGCAGCACTACTCAACACGATTAGTGCGTACCGGCGTAGATGTTATCGCATGGTATATTACGATATCAAGTGTCGTGCAATTGGTTGTAGCACCGTTCAACTCAAAATACCACTTGATCACTTCAGGTCGGTGAGTTTTGCATTTTACAAAAATGATCTACTCAACTAAGTGCCACTGAAGTCACGCAGTGTTACAAATAATTCTTTTCGAAACGTCTATATTAGAAGCGAAAAACCTTGAGCTTTCACACTCGCGCCCACGTATGTGAAACAATCGTGGCGATGACGACACTTCCTAATTACGAGACGGATATTTTACAGAGAAAACGAATGAAGATATCATACAAAATATAAAAAAATAATAAACAGCGGGTAAATTCACTCATGTTTTAGCTGTTATCAGGGCCAGTAGTGCTTTGCCCATATAAATGATATGTGAATCATTGCAACGCGAAGTGAATCATACTCGACGCGGTGCGGGCACCCTAAAAACGGCCCGCACGTGCTCGAGCTCTCGTCATTAGAACCAAGAACGCTGCGACTCTAATTGCCCGAGCGCGCAGCTCTCTGATCGTTGGAGACTTTGCTTGCGCGTTTTGTTTTCTTCTTCTTTATGGCGGGACAGGAAGTGTTTTTCCATCGCGGAAATTGCATTTTCATCGATTCATCTTTTAGTTGTCGCGTGACTCTCCTTCACTGGTTTTTTTTTTTATCAAATTGCTTCTTTGTTTGTTTTTTATCTATTATTAACGTTTTTTTTCTCGAAATAGTCTGACCGAAAATTACTGTTACTACTGATTTTTGCACAATAAATGATCGCATTGCCATTTTCATTTTCAAACTTACAACTAACTAAGTCGAAGTAGCTTAAAAAACAGTACTTAACAATGTTTGCTCGGTAAATATCATTGAGAAAGCCATATCGAATCAGAACTGAAATTTCTAATCCTTATAGATAATAGCTTTAGTGTAATTATCGTAATAAAACAAAAATCAAACTAAAAAAAACAAAGAAAATTGAACTAAACACTTCACATTCCACGACAAATTTTGGTGATAAACAAATGCTATCCCATAAAAACTTGGAACAAAAATATACAATTATTTATTTGTATTTCATTACTACATTAAAAATAATCAACCAGTTATCTAAACCTATATTATATATGTATACATAATTTTGTATGCGAAATAGTGTAAGATATAGAATATTGTTTACGAGACGAATAGCATTTGCCCATGTATTAGACAACAATGAGAGTTTTAAGAACATAAAAAATAATAAAGAACTCCGTGGATTCGTCGCTCTCTCTCTCTCTCTCTCTTGCTCATTTGTACAAAGCAGACAAGGCGATTCTCGATTGCAGCGGTGCCCTAAATGGATGCCCAAGGATTCGCAGATTAACTCATATCCATGTACATCTCGTACAATTGCCGGCTGGATCTCTCTTTAGATTTCTAGTTAACTACGTTGTTTTCTGTTCTCGTTCTCTTGATTTTATACACTATTTCACCATAATCGCGCAGATGCTGTGCGTGTTTATTAATTTTATCACCTGCGTATGATTACCATTTTTAAAATGAGAATTTTAAATAAAGTCGCGCTTTTTAAGGCTTGATGGTGTAACAGGATATAATCATGCATTTATTCTTGAGCACTTGTTTACTGGATGCTGCTTTCGAACTGTCTGACGTCGACATTTTGTGACGAGATCTATTTTTTGAATGTTATTTTTTATTTTGAATGCTATTTTTTAACTGAGAAAAATGTATCAACTTATACATTATATTAAATAAGTTCATGTAAGAATGTATGCATTAAATAAAGTTTCTTTGATTAAATAACTCTATTTCTTTTTGAAGGTAACTTAAAAAATGAGTATTTGATTTTTCAATCTAATTGTATTTTCTAAGATAAAAAAAAAGATATTTCAATCGTTACATCTCACGCGATGTATAAATCGAGAAAAAAAATATTACATGTACACAAAAAGTGTTTTTGAAAATTTGATATCAATTTTTTTTTATTAATCACTAACGTTAAATATATATATAGTCAAGTAAAAAGCGCATCTGATGTAAGATTCTTGCATCTTCTATTATCTGATACTGTATAACGTATCGATAACCATACGCAAATGCATGCAATAAATAAATCATGAAATTATGAGTAAATGTTTACTTAAATCAAACTATTTGCAAACGTAATAAGTGATTAATTTCTAACTGCTATCAAATTTTCAATTATCATACAAATCATCAACAAATTATATTTATTCCCATCGACTTTTTCTGTTTCTCTTCCTCTCCGTTTTATCTTTGTCTGAAGCTGTCAACTGATTGTTTGACTGGTCATTATTCGTTGAAGGTGGTGATTGTAAACCAGGGTGAGGAGGAGGCAAACCACCAGGGGGAGGTGGAGGAGGGGGCGGCATGATGACCGAGGCTGGTGTAGTGGTTTGTTCCCACGTGTGGTCGGAAGAAGGCCGAAACTAAAAACGATAAGATTATTGTTAGTAATGGCTAGAGTACCGATTCTATTATTTTAATAATCACCTGTGTATTGTACTGGCTTTTAAATGCAGCTTTCATAGCTGCCAGTCTATCGCTACCAGGTCCTGCTCTTTCTAATTTTTTAACTACTTCGCTAATATCTTTTGGTTGAAAAGATTGCTGTCCTGATGATGAAGAGTCAGAATTATCCTGTACGGAATAAAAATTTTAAAACAAAAATAAAAACGCACTTAATTATTAAGTATAAAAATAGTCACAGTCGTACCTGAATGGACGAAGAATTCTTAGCACGGAAACCAAAGCCAGCACCACCGACATTCAGCTGCTTACCTTTGCCACCCTTGAATCTTGACTTTCTAAACCAATTACTTTGTAGAGCTAAGTCCATAAGACTTTGAGGTACTTCTTGATTAGCACCTTCGAGATTTCTAACAAGGTGTCCGGCAAACTCTTTATCTTTTTCTGAAACTAAAGTGTAAGCCGTGCCTTTTTCACCGGCTCGACCTGTTCTACCAATTCTATGTGTATGAGTATCAATATCACGAGCTACATCGTAGTTAATAACTGTCCTGATGTGTGGTATATCCAAACCTCGAGCTATAACCGATTATTAAACAGTCACTTTTTGACATACAATAAAAATTAGGGTTCGCCGAAAAAATAGAAATACTTACCCGCGACGTCGGTTGCCACTAAAATGCTAACTTCTTTTTTCTTAAATGCAGTAATAACTTTATTTCTCTCAATTTGATCCATATCTCCGTGAAGTAACAAAACATCGTATTCTTTGAGTTTCAAGTTATTTGCTAATTCTTCAGCATTTAACTGTTGCAAAATCAGACAGTTAGGCTTTTTAAATTTAGAATTATTTTTTTATATGAAAGTACTTTATTTACCTTTTTAGTAACAAATATTAATAAGCTACCAGAACTCAGATATTCAACAATATTTTGATTTAACCATATCCATTTGCCTGTAGGATTGTTATGAAACACAATGACATGTTGAGTTACATCTGTATTAGCTTCACCTACGTCTCCTTGCACTATCCTAATAGGATCAGTTAATGCGTCTCTGGCGAGTTTCTCAATTCTCTTTTTAAACGTAGCACTGAATAGTAGTGTTACCCTATCTGGTCTCACATGATTACATATGGATTTAACCTGAGGCTCTACAAAGTAATATTACAAGTGAAAAATTATATAATGTAAATAATTATTTAGTTTTGAATAAATTACATACCAAAACCCATGTCGAACATTCGGTCAGCTTCGTCAAGCACTAAAAACGTTACTCTAGTCAAATTTGTTGCCTTCATTTTAATTAAATCAATCATTCGTCCAGGAGTAGCAACGACAATTTCTGCTCCACCTTCTAAAGCTTTACTTTGTTCCCATTTGCTGCCACCACCATAACAGCAACAAACTCGAATATTATATACTTTTCCAAATTTTTTGGCTTCTTGATATATCTGAAAAACAACGTCTTTAATTAACGATGGTACAGCAACAGAATTCTTTTTTTTAGTTTTGAATTTTTTTTAGTTTTATTATTATTTATTATGGATAAATGATTTTACCTGTTGCGACAACTCTCTAGTAGGTGCTAGAATGAGTCCAATTGGCCCCTCACCAGGTTCTAATTCTTTTTGGTCCATTATATGTATAAGCATTGGCCACACAAATGCAGCTGTTTTACCACTTCCAGTCTTAGCAATACCAATTAAATCTCTTCCACTCAAGGCTGCTGGGATAGCTTGTGCTTGAATTGGCGTTGGTTGAGTATACTCATGCTTTCGTATGGCTTTCATTAACAAGTCATCGAATCCAAAGTGACCAAAACTACAAACTGGATTTGGTGGATCAGCTCCTGTTACTTTAATTCCTAATGTTTTCCTCAAATCTCCAACTTGTTGTTTATCTAAGCTTCCTATTTCTTCATGAGCAATGTAAAAATTCTTCTCAAATGGTTCATATGATATTAAATTGTGGTCGATGGGTGGTAGAGGATCTATTTCTTTCTTTTTAGATGGTGGTAATGGATTTCCATCTTCATCATATTCAATTTCCTGGTCTGAATCATCTTGATGTAAACCTGCATTAGGATTTTCTTCCATATACCTATTGATTCAATTGATTTGGTTTTAAAAAATTGTAGAAAAAATGAAAATGGAAAATTTGTCAAAACATTAAACATGCCTATAATAACTCTCTTCGTCATCTTCTACATCAATATCTGCTCTTACTCCTTTGTCTTTACGTTCTTCTGAATCAGGAACTTTACTTGTATTTTTTTTAATTTCAGCATCTATTCCAGCCATAAATGCATCAAGAGGATCTTCTTCACTGTCACTGTCATGTTTCTTTGTATTCTTCTTCATGTGTTCTTCATAAGTTGGTGAACCAGGAGCTGGAATATATTCTAATGTAGATGATGATACAGCCTCATCATCTTCATCAAAATATCTGCAAATAATAATTTATTCCAAATATCTGCTCCTACCAAATTTCTGTTACAAATTAAAAATACTTACTCTTCTTCAGTTTTGCTGCGTTTTTTCGGTGCATTCCAATTTGCTGATAATGCATTTTCTGTGATTGCATTCATTGTATGATATCCTTGCTTGCTAAAACCAGAGTTTGATGGTGGAGGAGGTATAGCTGCCCCTTGGCGTTTACGTCCTGACATTTGGAAGCCAGCAAAGCCAAAGCCTTTCTGCTTATTACCAGAGTTATTTCTATGATAGCTCATTTTGTAACTTCAAGTAATTTTACTATCTGAAAATAATATTATATATTTTTGATTACTAAAATTGGAAATAAAAATCTTTGTTGTTAAGAATATTTAATATAAAAAATTGAAAAAAATTACTGTATAAAATATTTGAATACTTATAGTAGATAAATAAAGTGTTATTAGTGAAACTAAACCAAATATAATTAAAAAATACATCAAGAGAACACAAAATTTTTAGGTTAGATTTTGAGTAAGTTGAAAACTTGTTAAAATTATAGAATACTATAACAGGATATTTTCAGATTCAGTATTCATACAATCGGAGCATTTACCAGAAAAATATTAATTCATCCCATAAAAGATAAATTGAGATAAAACGCACTTCACAGCCATATACTTCAAACATCGAACACCAGCAAAACACTGCCGAACAGCCTAGCCGAATTATCCTGGATTGATTTTATCATATCACGTTTTATAGAAATCTACAGTACCATCGACTGCCAATGTTACAATTATATATATGTAAGCCGTGATCATTAATAAAAACTTCAACCCTATGAATATATTTTTTTGATCGTCTATCCCGGAAAAAGTTTTACAAAACATAAATAAAACAAAGTTGTAGTATTATAATATCATTTTATTAAAAAAAGTGGAGAAAATAGTAAGCTGTTTTCAATGCTATACAACGAGTTCGTGTTGAATAAATGCATAATATCAAAATAGACAATTATAGATAAAACAGTAAAGAAATTTTAAAGTATAACAGATTATTTCGTAGAACTTGGTATACTCTGAAAAATGTTATAATATTAATTTTGTCCTTTTATTTCTTTTCATTTTTGACTCATCGTGCTACTTGCCATTTTTAATGAACAGACAATTTTTGTAATTATATTAAATCTAGACGTAATTTTTCATAAAATTTTTGGATAAAAATTACTTTCACATTTGTGGTAACAATAGGGTTACAAACAGTGTACGTGAGAATTCGTTAGTAAAAATTTTAAAGTGCAGCCCCCACGCGATATTGTTGCATTTATATTTATTATTATAGAAGCTCGATTTCAAATTGTTATAAGATTGCATCAACGGTTGGAATAGATAATTAGAGCAGTTCTATAAACACAGTAATATATAAAAATTATTAATTTTTTAGTTATGGTATCTGCATATGAACAGCCCAGCAGAATTTTTTAATTTTAAATCAATAACATTCATTTTGGCTCGTGTGAATATTGTTATGCTCTTTGAAAAATGAATTAATTGATGTAATGGCAATGTAATAAAAAGTTCAGATGAAGGTAGCGCTCAATTTTACTGTTACAAATTAAATTAAATTATAGATGCGCTGCCAATGATAGCTTTTTTTTTTCTTTTTTTTTAGAGTCTATGAGAAAAACATTAAAGCTCGAAATATCAAAATCAACACGAAAAGTAAGTTTGATAGTTCCATAGTCTCTTAATCTTTGCAATAGATTTGCGATAGAAATACAAAATTGTAATGGAAAAGAAAATGCGTGATACGTAGGTTCGTTAAATTTTTAAATTAACCCATTAACGCTCACAGGACGGTTTTTCGAGACCTGAGTTTGAACTATTCTCATGTCATGAATTCTCGTGGAAAAAATTCAGGAACCATTGTTTCTTATGTTTTCGAGTGTCCTCTTTCCAATGATGCTGGTTAAAATTGTCGCTGAAAAACTTTTACGGTCCAAAAATCAAAAATAAATAAAAAAAACATGATTTTCTGATTTAATTTTTTTTTTAAATCGACTTTTCGTTCCCTAAGCATTTTTTTTAATGCCTAAAACCCTTATAGATCGCGGCCTCGAGGTTTTAACTACAAGTTACTATGGTTCTCCGGATATGAAAATTTTTCGTATAAACAAAATGGCGGCCGAAGTGAAAATATTTATCTAAAACTTTACAAATTTTTTTCTCGAATACTATAGATTTTCATGAAAATTTTTAAAGAACAAAAATGTCTTAGAATTAGTTATAAAATACTCTCAAATTTTTTCAGAATCATCCGAGAAAATTTTGGGATTTCGGAAAAGTCTCTGAATTGAAAATTTAAAAATTATGTCGGAAAATTTTGAAATAATTTGAGAGCGTTCTTTGTTTGTTTTTAAGACATTTCTATTCTCAGAAAAATGTTCCTAAAGAGTATACTTTTCGAGAAAAAAAATGTTAAAGTTTGCTAAACAAATATTTTGTTTACCAAAAACCATGCACTTTACGAAAGTTTTTCTGAGAATAGAAATGTCTTAAAAACAAACAAAGAACGCTCTCAAATTATTTCAAAATTTTCCGACATAATTTTTAAATTTTCAATTCAGAGACTTCCGAAATCCCAAAATTTTCTCGGATGATTCTGAAAAAATTTGAGAGTATTTTATAACTAATTCTAAGACATTTTTGTTCTTTAAAAATTTTCATGAAAATCTATAGTATTCGAGAAAAAAATTTGTAAAGTTTTAGATAAATATTTTCACTTCGGCCGCCATTTTGTTTATACGAAAAATTTTCATATCCGGAGAACCATAGTAACTTGTAGTTAAAACCTCGAGGCCGCGATCTATAAGGGTTTTAGGCATTAAAAAAAATGCTTAGGGAACGAAAAGTCGATTTAAAAAAAAAATTAAATCAGAAAATCATGTTTTTTTTATTTATTTTTGATTTTTGGACCGTAAAAGTTTTTCAGCGACAATTTTAACCAGCATCATTGGAAAGAGGACACTCGAAAACATAAGAAACAATGGTTCCTGAATTTTTTCCACGAGAATTCATGACATGAGAATAGTTCAAACTCAGGTCTCGAAAAACCGTCCTGTGAGCGTTAATGGGTTAATAAGATAGATAAGACTGGTAAACCGAGTGAAAAACTGCTTCGGCCGAGTAGATGCTGTAAACTACAGATACTGAAGCACTCGAGACCGGTGTAGCAGAATAAATGCTGGGTGCTGAGTAAAAGACTGGTGATACTAAGCCAGTAGTATATGCATTTAGCGGAGCAGAAGTCAAGAAGCCGGGTTTGGCAGCGGGAATAGCCACAACGGTAAACAGGACAGCCTGCAATTAATCAATTTTTTTTTCTTAATCATCATTTGATGAATAAATGTAAAAAATTTTGTTGATTTTTCGTTATACCTATAAGCTTAATTATTTTGATTGGTGTGGAGATTATACGTCTTGTAGAGTAGATAAGTTGACTGTGGCTCTACTGACAGATTCTGGATATTTGTACAGCTAACCGATTCTTTATAAATCATTGATTCATGCCCGAGATTTGCATGACGTCTTTACCTATAAACAAAGGTTTTTTTCTTTACTTTTTGCAAGCCACCTCTTCAAAAATTTGCCTCACTCTGATTTGATCGTGACTCTTAAGCGATATCAATCAGACGATCTCATGTCTGACTTCGCCACTACTTCACACATTTTTTTCTATTCATTTCCGTGTTCGTGCATAATCAGATTTAAAAAATCAGATAGATTATAGAGACAAGAGTTCTAGCATTATTCAAGACTCAATTCAAACTATATTTCATTTCATCACTTTTTTTGTCAACTTTTATAATTACAGGAAAGAAATAGTTTCTTATTAGATTTATATACAACGCAAAAAATAGTCAATCACAATACAACGAGATATGATTTTTGATTTGCGCTAATTTTTATACATAATAGTTTAACTAATTTTTTAAATAGCTATTCATACGTAAATAGTATATTACGCAATTAGTGCGCGAAACAGGTGATTCACGAACGAGGCAAATTTGACAATCGGCGAGTGAGGGAATGAACTCGCGCAGGTATTGCGTATACTGTTTTTTGACACGTCGTGAGCGAAACAAAAAAGCCTTAAGCTCTCAAAACCAAAGAGAGGACGAGTCGTGACTACAGACGAGCAAACAAAAAATATTGAAAGATAGAATATTAAATAGTGATAAAATAGAATATTAATGCATTTCAACAGATAATCCATACGAATAATTTAACTAACATGTAAAATACACAGTTCCGTGAATAAAATAAAATAAAAATTCACTCAAGCACATGAAATAAACCAAAAGCTCCAACTAACATAATGTAAATCTATTTTAATGTTTATATGTATATTTTTTCAATGTCATAGTCCTCTAATTTTGACTTTGTAATGTCTAATATAGAAAAAAATAAACTTTGTTAAAAGAAATTTTTTTGTTGCGAGCTTTTCTCGAAAACACTACTCTTTTAACTTTATACATTATACTTTTTATTTTCATGAATAATATGAAAAATTGTATTTCTTAAAGTTTAATGTTGATTTAGCGTAAGTTACTAGTAATCCCAAAAATGTACGAACTTTGTACTTGTAAGATAATATTGATTTAATTTGCAGTCATAATGTATGATTTGCGACAGAATTACGTTATAAAACAGTTAATTATTATAAATTTGACCAGCAAAGCGTAAAAAATATTGAATATTTAAAACATTCAATTATCGTAGTCGATAAATTAAAAATTTTTAAAGAGGAATGTTTAATTTTACTGTGATATATTAAAAATTACAAAAAAATTAAGGTGGTATAATTCATTTTATTTTTCAAACGATTCAGTTCAGTCATTATTGCATGAGCTGTTACGACAAGAAATATTGTCGTGTAACAATGGTCTTCTTGCAACTCTTCGATTCAAGTGATGTCCATGGGTAAGCAGAAGTAATGGCGCACTCAAAATGACAATGGGATGGACGGTACATACGTTGTATCGATCGACATCAATAATGAGAAAGTTTCAGCTGTACGAAAATTTAAGCAGGCACTGACAAACAAATGGATTTCGATAAAACACGACACGCATGCATTAAATATCAAAACAGTGAAAATGATAATAAAGTATGAGTAAAGTTAGAGGAATCGACAGATTTAAAAGTACTGAGGTCCGTATCGATAAGAGGCAAAGACAGGAGCTGGAGCAGGGTAGGTGATGAAAGGCGCTGAGTGGACAACTGGAGCAACAGCGGGGAGGATGGCTCTGGACTCAATGAGGGCTGGGCTGCTGATGCTGGTGGTGACTGGAGCAGCAGCATGAACCACGGCGTTGCCGTGGGATTCCACGGTAGTTTCACCGATCACAGCGGTGCGCGTCTCAACAGCCGGAACTGCAGCCAGGAAACCGGGCTTGGCGGCGGCAACAGCGATCACGGCGAACAAAACAACCTACGATGATAATGAATAATTTAATGTCGACTAATTAGTCGTACTTATTTGGATAGAATAAAAATCCAACGAATTCCTTGGTGTACTCACGAGCTTGAACATGTTGGTTTGTGAGGGGATTGTGTCTGGCAGTGTAGACAAACTGAGACTGATGCCCGAACGAGAGATCCTGCACGTTTATATATGAAATCCATTGCCCATGCAAGAAAGACCTTAAAGACCTTCACGCGCTTCAGACTTCCGTGATGTTGCAGAGAAGCCAACGTTCTCTTTTACCGTTTACGTGGCTCCACGCCTGCGCCTCTACTACGCTACAGCCTACATTCGTATTTACTCTCGTCCCTATCTTACGTATTCTTTCTATTATTTTTCATTGACGTAACGATCTACGCGGTCACGTTTGGATACATAATATCAAAGCTCAAGGCTAATAGGCAGTGCTTTTTATATTTCATCGGGTCTTTCAATTTTTACGCGCTCTTTTTATATTAATCTAATCAAGTAAAATAATAAGTTAAAATAGGTGATTTTTAAATTAATTTTTTCTCTCTTTCTATTTTTACTTCAAACGGGAAACTTATGTGGAAAAACGCAACAAGCGTAGCATATTAAAGGGTTCGCGTGTTATTTTATTTTTAATAAAAGCAAAGTAAATCTTTAGTAGTTTATAAATGATTCAAAATGATTTATCTTTAAAGGAACTGAAATATATATTTTAATGAAAATTAAAGAGCATAATGAAAGTTATGACATTCTATATTGATAAAACAAAAATAACAAACTAGATCAAGTACTGATATTCTTAACATTCAACGTAATCAAAGGCTAAAAATGTATTTATGAGAAACCGCTAATCCGAAATCTCGAAACGCCGACGACGCAGGGAGCAGTGAGTGATTAGTAGAAAAAGTAGGTGACAAGTGGAATACCTTGAATTGGAATGCCGAAATCCGTCGAGCTAAGGCACAAAAGAATAACGCACCGAGTCTTTTTCATCGCATACTCAGTCACATGCATATGCGTTTGGCTACTAAAAACGATCACGGATCTTGGGGTCACATCCGCGACACGCCTGTAGTTCACTCGATATTTTCATGCGCAGTCCTTGTATTCCGTACAACAGGATGTTATTTTCTTTTCGTCAGACTTCTCGAGCAATTACAAAGAAATTGGTTAGCACAGCATGCTGGGCTTGCTTCTTTAACCTTCGCTCTGTGATAAAAGGTGTTATCCAATCATAGATTTCGTTGATCTATAAGTTTTAGTTTTTAACCGCCGTTGGTTGCGCGTCTTATTTTACGTAAGGAGCATGGAATGAATAGTGGACGCGTGCGCTGACCCAAAATGTTGACAGTAATAAATCATTAGCTTATTTTCCAGTTACGAGTCGAAAATTTCTCGGTTCTTTTTTTCCGTAATAGCTGAGCTAGTGAATGACTAAGACTAATATTAAGAAAAAGGATTAACAAATGAAACGAAAGCTTTACTTTTAAACGTAATTTATTATTATTTTCTTGTTCAAAGCGGCAAAGATATGTCGTTAGAATCTTAAATCTATAACGTAGCGCATGTATTTATTCTACTTACAGGTATATCAAGTATAGTCGCGCAATTAGACTACAGTTTATAATCCGAAGAATATTTTTTATACACAATACAATAATAGAGTTTCGTTAAAAAAACATATTATTTACTATATAAAATTAACAGCGATAGAAAAGAAGATAAAGATGATTGTTCTTGTTACAAGATCTTGGTCTAGACTAAAGGCACTTTTGAGAGCATGCAATTATACTTATTAAAGTGCGAAAAGGTCGAAGCGCTAGAATATTATAATTTTCTTTTTCATATTGTTCCCAAAGAATTGTTTCCATATTCATCATTTACAAGAGACATCTAATAGACATTTATTTACAATACATATTCCGTAAATTGATGTCAAGCCCATACAAATTTAATATTACAAGATCATATTGAAATTAAGAATTTAATAGGAACTTTTAAGAGTTTTACTTAATTATAATAATTTTTTTAATAAGAATTTTTTCACTTAGAAATTGCTTTAACTCACAAGATTTCGAAGCCTTTTTAGAAACAACTAATTCTTGTGACAAGAGAAAGTTGTTGAAAAATGAAGTCTGGATGCATATCTATTAAACTTACTATTGGCAAAAATAATTGAAATTTCGATTCAAATATTTCAAGACATTAATACACTTTAATACCTCGAACTTGGTGGCGTCGATTTTAAAACGCTTAGGCACTTTGCACAACTATATCTAAATTCCATCATGTTTTTGCAATAGTAGTATAACCTAGCTGTTGTAAATTTTAAGTATATTAATTAATTTTACGGAACTAAAAAAGATTTCTCAATATTAACATCTATATCGTATATTGCTTAGTTTTTAATGCCAATAGAAACAATAATTCGTTTTTAAATGAATGTAAAATGATAGATCTATTTTCTTGTCCAATCCTTTTTCAAGCTGTCAATTTTCTCTGTAACGTACAAAACACAATGCAATGTTTTTGTATTTGATTTTGTATCTGAAGTCACGACTGGATGCGATATTGCTAATTCATTTGAGTAAAACGAAATATTTTTACGAGAATGCCCTACTTAAAAAATCCACGGCATATAAAGTTGAAACTAAAAAAAAATTACGCGATTCAATCGCATCTTGTGGCTATTTGAGTTCTACAATAATAATCTCTAATAGAATTGGATAGATTTTTTAGTTTATTGAAAAGTTTGTTACTAAAATGAGAAGGAATATAATTATTGTTATAACTGCTATCAATTCGGTAATTCCATATTTAATATCCAATTTTTTAATTTTAACGTATTGCTAAAGTGTATATTACATTAATGAATATAAATTAAGCTCACAGTATTACTAGTTATGTATGTTCTACCGACTAGATTATGTATTCATTTCTTAAATTTATTTCTCAATGAACATGGGTATTGATTGAAAAGCTAGAAAATAGATTACATTTTCAGAAATCTCCAAATATTTCTTCTCTATTTTTCAATTTTCTGGACTACTAAAATCATTGAACTTTTCAATATTATATACAGTAACGAGTTGCATTGGCGTTACATAAAGCGTGCATGCTGGAAATTATTTTATAATCTTTATAAAGAGATTATCATTATCGTCACTACGATTCATTTGAAAGTATCATTTTAATAAACTCTACGCATTGTATTTATGAATACTAAAATCACAGAGTTGATTTTGGACATTACGCAGTAATCGAATGTATCCTAACTACAAAGCGCTTCTGTACATATAATTTCTTTAGTGAAAAATATATCTTGTAAACTACAAATAAATATTGAAGTTCAACCTTTATTAAACAATGATACTATAAAACAACTCGTGAAAAACAAGTATGTATCTTGTATAAATCGCCAAATTATGTTTCAAACATAACTATCGCATAAGAAAATATTAAAATTAATTTAAAAATAGAAGCTCATTATAATGAATTTATTTTTGTACTTGAATTTTACGTATATATATTTAATGTAAACTATAATTTACAACGCACCATTATAGTGTACAATAGAAGGCTTCGATTGAAATAGATTGCATTAGTATAGGATTTATTTAAATCTTATTAAATTGCATGGTTTTTTATTTATATTACATTATATACAAGTATTATTATATAATTATTTAAAATGAAAATAAATATTTTTTTTTTATTTATTACGTCGTTAAATTGATGTAGAACTCTTTAGAACGGTTCCTTCATTATTTTTCTCGTATGGATCGACAATTTGTGTGATCGTTTTTTAGCTGTGCGTTTTAGTGTATTCAACCCCATTGTCATAGCAGTTCTTTACAATATACAATTTTCCATCAATAAAATGTTCTATACCCAGTATTTATAAATAAGCGGTGAATTTTGTATTATTAAGTAGTATTGATGTGACACTGAATCAATGTTTAAAATACGAACATGTTTCCAATTGTCTATTTTCATTATTTAAAAATTCACCGATATATTTTGAGATTGTCTTGAAGAATTTATGCGTTAAAAATTTTCGCTAATAGTATAACATTGTTTTTTTTTGCACTTTTTGTTAATAATGTCAGCCGATGACTTAGCATTACAATACTATTAACGTCTTATCTAAAAGTAGTACTAAAATATTGTAATTATTTCGATTTCAGTATAAGTGTTTTACTATATACTTTTGTATTTCAAGCATCGTACATCTTATGCGATTATTGTAATCGTTGTCATTTTGCAACTACGTTTTACATAAAATTGCATCCAGAAGCAATACGGCCAATTAGCATTATCGTTAGAGGTTTAAGCTTCATTCTATTAAACTTCGTCCTCGATACCGCGCAGTGGAATTTGCTGCTTATGTGCCACTGCATTTAGTACGTACATTATCTGGTCTAATTTCTTGTCCATTATCGACAACTGCAACAGTAGAATCAGACTTACTTGAAACCATTCGTAGTTTCACATTTTACGTGCATCATATTCAACAGACTTTTTAAGCGTGCTTTTAGTCACAAGAATTCTACTTCTGACTAATAATTCATATAAATGTGAGGATACAAAATAAAGCCAAGTCAAATATAGCCAACTATGGAAATTTGTTGTAATTTATTTGATATAACCTTTAAAAGCTACTTAATTTACAAAAATGGTAATTTATTTGAAAATGTGAATGACGTTGGATTTGTTGATTCTTTTTCGCGGCATAATTCCGTCCGTTTACGTGGTATTTGATATCGAACAAATATGAGCCCTATTGTTTACTGAGGGTGGTACGAGACGGAGGGTTACTTCCAACTCGTATAATATATTTACACTAGGTGGGTCTTCTATAGTTTCATCAACGAGATTTTCTCGTATATCAATTATAAAAATTTATTCTTTTGATAAATTCTCAAAAAACAAATCGTCATTTAAACTACATGGTAAATATATTTTTATGAATATTCCTTGAATACACAATACTTGACGAAGCGATTCGAAAAAAATAAAGAAAATTTTTCGTTGGAAACGTCAATTGAAAAAAAAAAAGAAAAAAAAAACATCACACGTGCCCATTGCACTCTCGAATCTCGCTCAGCGCAACCATCGAAAAATAAACGTGGACAAAATAGGGTACGTAAAGTGGCAAAGATGACAAGCGCATGCTAAAAAGTGTAGAGAGACGTGGACAACAAGCAAAAGAGTAGAAGAGGGGAGACTTGAGCATTCACCTGCTGCTCGACTCTATAGAGGCGCGCGCCTATTGTCATTGGCTTGATGTTACCTGACCGATCGATTCCTGCAAGGTAGCTGCCCGGCTTACCCAAAGTTTGGTCAAGTCGCCTCTGCAACTCCTGTCGACACACAGACGTATACATACATATACATGCACGCAAAGAGAGAGAGAGAGAGAGAGAGAGAGCATCGATTTTTATAGCTGCTATATGTCCGTTACACGTCGTCATTAGGCCTGCCTGCCTTGGGCTATCGTGTCGATTCCAAACCCATGCATAAATCTAAATTTCGCGTTTTCACGCTCAACTGACCTAATTGTTCGTCGCGGGACTGAACCTCCCTCGCCGCTTTAACTTTGTGTGCCGCTGCACCGAATTAATTTATATCGTGCGATTGGCTATGCCTTCCTTCTCTGGTGTTAAGGAACAGCTATCGACCTCCGCATACCTTTCCGAGGCGCTAACGGATCGCGTATCGATCTTAAGTTTTTTTTGCCGACTTGTAGATTGCTTATCTCTCGCTGTAAAAACACTCGTGCTTGAAAAAACGCTTCGATTAGAAGGCTCTTCGCGTCGCTAGTATATTCACGCGGAAAACCAACGACAATTACTTTTATTACCTAAAAATTGTGTAGATAAGCTATACGACCGGTCGACCAACGAGCTTATCAAATAATCTAGAGTCTCGTCAAGAGAATAACTTGTACAGTGTATTATTTCAGTGGACACGAAATCGTTAATTGTATTATCTATCGTTACGTAGCACAAACCAAAGGGTTCGAAATATAAATGTCGATTCCTATACGATACGTCGTATATGAAAACGGAGCGACTTCATTCGATTTCCGTCGGATAAAAAATGTATATTCCACATCGTGATGTAATACAACGTTTCAAAAACTCGCTGATTGAGAAAAATTGATAAAAACCAATAGGAATTGAGTCGACACGAGAAAAACAGTCTTAATGTAAGTGAAAGAAAAAAGCGAGCGAGACTTACCTTAATTCTCACCATCATGTTAAGATGACCTTGGCTGTACTGTTCAATGACATCCCGTACATCATAGGGTTTGCGTGCTTGCTGAAACTTGCGACGAGCAACGAAGTACTTGATCTTGCGAATGGCCCTTATCGCGTTCCGGTGTGCCTCCGTCAATCTACGGTTTTTACGTTCAATTATATATGCGTGTTGCAAGCGATAACGATTTACATGCTGCCCCTTCGTATTTATCATCGATAATATTCGCTACATATACGCTTCACGTTTTCGCTCGATGTGACTCTTCAATAATTACTTATCGATTTTACATGCGTGAGAATTATGCATTCGGAATCGTTAAGGCCGAATATATCGATTTGAAAGCAATTAATGTGACGATTGAACATTCGTAATTCGTGAAGTGGCCAATGTATTCTCAATCATCGAATTGATTATTCACCGTAGCACGATGGAATGTTTGCCAGTCAGGCGTATTTTTGTTTAATTAAAATGACGAAGCAGAGTTTAATAATAAGAGCCAATGACAGTTAACTGTAATAACGTTACCGAATGTTTCCGTATTTGAAACAATGTAGGCCATAAGATTGTCATGAGTATCGAAAAAAAATTCCATTGTCTCATTAGTTAAACACATAGAGGCTCGAAGAACGTTGCTGTAAATTTTATAGATCACACATTTTTTAAGCAAAACATCTCGTTTCCGATATGAAATGGCGCTTTTACTCCCTTAACTCCTAGTTGGTGACTGAAATATCATTGTCGATATATCTTAATTTGGAAAAACTGATAATTGACAAGACTTGAATAAAAAGTAAATAGTAAATTGCGAAAACTCTTTGAATAGAGTGACATGGTTAAAACAAAATTGCACCAATAGAGTATTTTCGCCAATAACAATCATGATTTTTATTTCTTCGATTCGGAACCTTCTCGAATTGACATCCAATTTATAAAAAGTAGACGAGCAAAATGAAAAGTATCCTTTCAATGAATAGTGTTGCACTACGGTGTAACCCTGCAAAAGTTTGCTTAGCCTCCGTGAACGAACACGTATAGGTCAGTAACTAATTGGCTCAAGTCAATCGAAACTTTCGACGTCCATAGTGCGCGTAACAAACGTGTACACAACGTTGCGTCGAGTTGACTTTGCGCCGCTCAGATGCATAACGGCATTGCCTTTCATATTTCACATCGATCGATCTTCCGAGCGCAAATGCGGCCGCGCTCTGCGCTAAATCATGCGTGTATGCGTATAATCGAGTCGCTCTGTGCCAAACGAAAAAATGAATCACGACAATCTTTCAAATGGCAACTCGGCGGTCGCCGCACGAAAGACAAAAAAAAGTACGTCGTGGTGACGCGTCGAACATTCAAAAATCGAACATTATTATTCAACGAGAATTTCGTTTCATCACTCACGTGGTTACTCGTTGGGGCTCGTCGATGTCGATGTCGATTTCATCGCTGGCTGCTTCCGTCACCGAACTAGTCTGCGAAGTGAACAAGCTTCCCCTGCAAAATTGAAAGTGCACAACAACATACACATACGTACATAGGCGCGAATTTGACCGTCGCCGAATAAGCTCTCCTTACGCTACTTCGTAACGCGAATTTCCGTGGACCAGTCAGGAGGATTGAATTTTTAACGAACTTTCCGCAAGGGAATTTAAAATAGCACGTTAAAACATTAATTCACTTAATTCACAGGTGCGAATGTGTCGTTATTTCGTTTTTTCTACGCACTTTCGCCAGCTACTTGTTTCATTCAACAGCGGTATAAAAATCTCCGAAACTATACAGTTACTATTGTAATCTAGAAAATAGTCGAATAAATATATAAACCGATCGGTTGAGTTATCTTTCTACTATTATTACTTTTTCTGAAAAAAATTCCCCATCAGAATCTCATTTGTGCGGTATAACAAGATAGGCGTATCGTATACTTTGAATCATCAACTCCTGAAAGGTGAACAACCGAATAACGAAGTTTTTATGACAAGTAAACCACAAAAAAGTCTACTCGACATACTCGTCAGCATAAAGTGCGAGCTTCAAGAAAAAGAAAAAAGAAGTTCTAACAAATTATTACTTTGCACGCCTACGGCGCTATTATCAGGTAATCCAAGAGATACAGTAAAAAAATTTTAAAGGCTAATCGACAACACTGACGTGGATCGACAAAAAAAGTGAAATCCGGCCAACGCCATCCGAAAAATACGTCGATCGATTACATCATTCTGACGAGGCTTTCTTCGAGTGCTCAAGTGTATACCACAATTAACCAACCGAAATCTTGGCACTTAAACTTAATATCAGATTCGACTTCGTTATGATTACGTTCTTAATACTTCGAAACATAAAAGCTCTGTTATATACTTGATGAACAAGATGATTAAAGGCGCCAATAAGTCATTCTATGTCTAATTTTGCGAGGCTTCATACTTAATTCATCGGATCTGATTTCTCGTTTATTAACTTGTTCTCTCTCTCTCTCTCTCTCTCTCTCTCTCTCTCTCTCTCTCTCTCTCTCTCTCTCTCTCTCTCTCTTTCTCTTCTTCTCTCGAAGGAAACGGTGTACTCGAAATGAAAATAGACTTTCACTGTTAAAAGGTGATCAGGAAAAGAGCTAGAGCAGAAAAAAAAATAAAGTGGCGAAACGATGAAAATCAAATGAGAAAAGAGTTCAAGGACGCGTCGCCAATTTCAAAGATAGACATCTGAGATTCGAAAATTTTGATGTGCATTTAATATGGAAGTCGTCTGCACTGGACACTGCATTAAAAACGAAGCACTCGAGGCGAATGAGTGAATAATAGAGGCAAGGCGCCAAGCGCGCGGCCACGCGGTTATCCATATTAAAGTGCAGCAATCCGACGCTGATATCCGACTGGATGGTGCGTCGAAAGAATGGGGAAGTTGATTGCAAAAACAGACACGTGAATTTTGTAAGGCGACGCAGTTTTGTTCAAGTTCATCTCTATGAACCTATTTTGAACTATGAATGAAATCGGTTTTAATAAATACCTGATGGGGCAAGCAGCAGCAGCTGCTGCATGTGGGCAAAAAAATAATTTTGGTTTCCACGTTACCTTGTGTTCCACTGTAACAGATGTATTTCGGCACTAAAAATAGCAAAAAATAGCCCTGGATGAGATTGTTATTCTGGCATTACAACGGATGTCAAGGAAAACGGGGAGTTGCTTGTCTTCTTCCTTTCCTTTTTACGGATTTTTATTGCCGGGGGTACTCGCGCTCATGAAGTAAAGAAGCAAAATCTACCGACAGAATGGCACTATCACCGCAGGGAATTAGTTATACACAGTCAATATATCTTTCCTGCCGAGACACATATTTTACGTGTCACCGATGCTATTATTGGAGATTTGTTTTTATTTCATTCGCTGAGATATTGTGTATTATACGAGTACATCGATTTCGATTTGTATAGATAGGGGGACAAGGTGAAATTTACTTGCACTCTTTTTCCCTTGCAAGAACTTTCGATTATGGTTTGGCTTTTCCAGATGATCGAAAAGAAAAGCGGCTGCTATTTTTACGGAGTACGAAAAAAGTGAATTAAACCGCAGCAGGCAACGAAAGTTTTATACGAGCGTATAAGCGATTCTATTCTTTTTTTTTCATTATAGTTCAGCATTGTCGCTTGCGGAATTCCGCCGTATTCTATTTTCAAATATAAAAGAAGTTATGCCAATAAACACTGCTACATTGATCTTAACAAAGTTAAAATGAACATTCTTTTTCCATTTAGGAGAGCATACGATCACGATGATATTGTCATGTAGCAAGCTGTACCTATTTGAGTTAACATAAAACTTTTATGTCGATTTTAACTGAAACATTTTATTCGACAGGTAATGGAGATAAAAAAGAATCTTTGATAAACTCCCGATGAATTCATCTAGAGCTATTCTGCTTTTAATTAAAAAGACGTAGTGTCACTTCGACGCTTTGCTCTATAAAAAAACTTTTCTAAATTCCTACACGAATTCCGCTGGATTTTTTCAAAGGAAAACTTGTCTTATGTAGTTCACGATCAATTTTCACTTTGCAATGCACATACGAGGAACATTTGCTTCGAGTTACTCAGCTTTGACGGTATACGCGGAGTTTGGAAAAACTCATCTTTCAATTTTCTTTTCATTTTACCTTGTTAAACGCACGGCAGAAAGAAAAAAAGATCGAGAAAACTGCTTTCCCATCTTTAGCTCAAATTTCGTTCTGAGATTTCTCTTCTGACGAAAGTATGAGCCACATAAAGGTTGGTAAAAACCCAATCCAACGTTCTTTCCCCTCGTCGAAAGGTCGCGCTACAACAAAGCTCGCGAACACGAGAAAGGGTAGTAGATATACATAGGCGTGCAAGGGAGTGGAGGAAGAAGAGAAAAAATCGATTCTAAGTGAGAAACGACACACGAGAGGGACACTTGCGTTTTATTTATTTTTTTTTTCGTACCACGCGAGTCCCCGAAACAGAAAAATCGAAGCCAACAAGCAAATACACACACTCACCTATTCTCCCTTCTCACTCGATTGGGCGTGCAAGCTTTCGGCTCCTCCATATAGAAGATAAAATCACCCTCGTTGTCTAACCTGGCATCTGTCTGCGATGCTTGAGTAGCACTTGGGTTGTTATTAGTAGTGGTCTGTTGCTGCTGAGGTTGTTGATGTTGTTGCTGTTGCGGCTGTAGCTGCTGCTGCTGCTGCTGCTGCTGCTGTTGGTTGTTCGGAGTCGATTGATTGGAATCAAGCTGCTGCACGTCCATACGGTTGCGCGACTTCCGACGTTTCAAGACGCTCGCCTTTTTAGCCACCTGGATGATCAGAGACTGAACCCCCGGTACCCGTTACGTCAAAGCCAACACACACAGCATGCACTACCCTAAAGATCAAGTTTTTTGCTTTTCTTTTCTCTCGGATGCGCTCAAAACTCTTCTCTAGATATCAGAAAACAAGCTCGATGCGTCTCGATTTTGCACGGCTGGCTGAAGCTTCACTTTCCGTTTATTTTCTCTTGCTAACTTTTTCTTTTTCCATGTACCAACCAACATTTATTTAGATGTAAACATCAAAAACATAAATAATTCCGTTTTTTTTTCTTTCTTTTTGTTACGTTACTTTTGCCGACGTTGCTTGTCTTTTTCTTTTCGAGCTTACGTATTTTTAGCGCAGCCTTTCACTTTGTTTTCTCAAGTTTTAATGTTCACAATTGAGTTGTCACTTATCGACGAGCCATTTTGAGATTTGAATTATTTTATATCTCAACAACAAAATTCAATATTTTGTTCAGATGAGCTCTCGCAGTTCAATTTTCGAGGCGTACTTAATCTTGTAACCATACGACTGTATACCGCTACGATGATCATATCAATAACTGATGAAATCTCTTGTAACGCGAAACCGATACTATTTTTACGGTCCAATAATTTTTGAGCCCACGGTAATGGAAACTTGGAAACATATATCACGGAACAAAATTCCGTTGGCTGTGGAAAATGACCAATCAATTTTTAATCCCTTTCAAGATTCGTACACACCCACTCGGGCACAATGAAGTTGTCATGTACTAAGGTCGAAGCTTATTACCCAATAACCCAACTTCGTTGTGATGTAATAAGGACGAATAAGTCGAGGACAATTGACGTCAAATGCAAAATGAGGCGTACGCCGGCATTATTATCAGTTTGATTCCGGATCGTTGCATCGCCCGTTCACTTGTGCACGATAGAAAATTAATTCTTCGCGCGAAGGTAAAATCAAGTTCGTGGGAAATTCATCACGGTCGCGAGCTAAATCTCCCGTAGACATGCATTTATTTTAATAAACGGCCTGCGCGCTAAATGATATCCCGAACGCGAATCACGTATAAAATATTGTCATCACTGTAGACTTGGATTTGAAGGCACATCGTACATCTGATGATAAATTAATAGTAATGCTCTTTGAAGGAAGAAAAAGAAATTTGCACAAAGCCGTGTGATACTTTGCCAATGACACGAACGACGACGCTGGTGGGTAAGGTCTAGCGCGCGAAGTTCATACGAGTGAATAAAAGGCAATAGGTAGCGGCGTAAAGCTTTTCCCGGCACATCTCGCTTTCTCGCAACTTTCAATCCGATAATCCCTGAGCGCATTGATGCGGTGCGCTCGCGTAACGGTACTTTGCGTGTGGCTGACATTTGAAAAGCCTGACCGCGAACGCAGCTGTGGTTAAAGCAAGCGACCGAGACAAGAAAAAAAGACTTTGTAAAAGGTCTGTACTCGAGTAGTTGGCAAATCCTTTGAAAAAAAAAAAAAAAAAAAAAAAAAAAGAATAAAGAAAGCAGCCGGTACACAATGACAATAGTCACGTGGTTAAAGATGGCTTTTATCCGGAGCTTGTAAGGCTATTATGCCTCGACAAGCTATAAATAAAGCTCTAATGCCTCTATAAGTGACAAGGTAAAAAGGCCGCGACGAGACCTTCATTACTTACTGTGGCTGCGCTGAAACAACAATAGGCTCTGCATCCTCTTAGCACATCAAAACTGAAAGCGCCGAAAAGAAAAAAAAATGATAATAATGAGCGAAGTCATCATATATGAGACGGAAAAAACAACGAAGCTTGCACGGAGCTTGCGCGGATTATCCGACGACCCAGAAAATAGCAGCGGTAGGCACATTCCCGTCGCTTGTATCTTTTACGCCTCGCCGTCTGTGACAGCAGCGCAGACACACTGCATGCTTAAGAAGCAAACAGGAGGCTGCGTATGTACCTATAAAGCGCCCAGCGTTCAAGCATAATACCGAGAAATGTACTTAGCACGTTGTTACTCCATATACTATCTTGCTTCCCTCGAAACAACGCGTCGTGCGCTGACTTGGTTGCCGTGTCAGCTTTCAATCTTAAGCCTTCGATAATTTACCGAAATTGTCCTAAACCGCCAGCTCCAAGCTAGTTATTTACTGGCTATTAATGGTGGCTTTTGAACTGAGCTTTTGAGCACGTAGCTTGAGTTACGCGACTTTACAACGTCAAAATTATGGAAATGAGTCTTTTGATTCTGACACTAATTCTAGCTGATGAATGAGTCAAGCCATTTCTATCGATGGTTCTTTTTTGACATGATCATAGGAACATCGAAACTACTGGTATGTCGAGAGATAGCAACATATTGCTAATGAAAAGCTATTCTTTACATCGTAATTTCTTAATCAAATGGTCTTTGCAAAAAATCAAATTTTATTGCCTCATAGAGATTCAGAAGAGAGCCATTGGCGATTAATATTGTTTGACTCGCGGCTATTTGATATGATTGGAAAAGTGAATTGTAATGTTGTAATTTCAACGCTTTCAGTTTCTCTGAAGCGCTAAATAAAAAAAAAACGGAATTTTTAATTAATTCTACCGATCCAACTTTACTTTAGAGTAGTTTAGGTTTAATATTAGGTCTTAGTAGTACTAGAATTTGAACGGTGCTAATAGATTCAGTAAAAGTGTCAGTAGTTGAGAAAATTGATCTAAATCACTACTGAAGTCTAAATTCTAACGAAGTTGCATAAAGTAAGAGTTTGATGGGTGCGACACTAAAAAAAGAAAAAAGAAAAAAAAAAGAAAAGGAAAAAGAAAGAATATTATACTATGCAGTAATATTGTCTGTTCGATAATATAATCGATATATACCGTGGAGTGTCGTCGTTAGAACGCACTTTCGAGCGATAATATCAACATTGATCCTCGCGTTCAAACAAACGAACTACCTCCTCATAATTCTCATCATTCTCCGTGCTGTTGCGTGAGTACATACCAACCCTATCTGAAAATTGTCGCTCACTTTGAATAGCAAGAAGAAGAGCGAGGATCTCGTCGTGAAACAAGGACGCACATTTAAACGTAAACTTCTCTTGTAAATGTAGCAACACAGCGTATATTACAAGTTAGACGAATGGAACTAACATATAACTAGACATTGCATTACGTCAATAAATACACCATGACTAGATTGCCGAATAGGGAGGTGTGGGCAGGTATATATATATACACATAGATGTAGAGAGCGTTTCGGGAGAGTGGATGCGTGTCCATTTGAGAGGCCAGCTAGCCGACAGACTCTACGGGCTGCTGCACCCGCGCTAGTAATATGTACAGACGCTAACTCCTTCGCTCACTTCGAGGGAGGAGGGCTCTCGTCTAAGCGGCGCTGACTGACATTCGAAACACTTAATAAACGTCGACATGCAATTTGCACAAGGTGCTTAGGATGAAGACGTGAGAAGCAGTGAGGGCAGGGCGGGGGTACCTTGCCGAGCGGCGTGGTCGGCTGCCCCGTGGGCGCCGTATCCTTCACGTAAATGTTCCACGTGGCCACGCTGTTGGTCGACTTTTCCGCGGCGTGACAACGCCACAGGCACTGGATCAGCATCGCCGCCGCGGGGATCTGACGGTTGAAGTGCTTCTGGCGCTGTTTCTGCTGGACTTTCAACGCGAAACCGGAGCCCAGGATTCCCTAAATTGCATCCAAATCAGTGACTGACGCCAGTGTGTTTGAAAATGTCTACTGCCCAATCCTTACGGCTGGAAGTGCAAAGAAGGAAATGGCGAACACGCTGAAACACGATGCCACGATTTTACCCATCCACGTCTGAGGCACCGCGTCGCCGTAGCCTATCGTTGTCACTGTTATCTGCGCTCACCGATAAACGTACAATCGCTTTATTAGTTTCGAGGAGCAACGGACTCTTTTCGGCATTCACAAGAAATAGTCATGCAACGCTCTAATTAGAAAACAAACATCGCCATTAATCATTTATTTTATTTTATGACTGATAAACGGAAATCAAGAGTTCGTCGAGTATTGTCCTTTTTTGACATTCTGCTTGCGAGATTACTCAAAAGATGACGCACTTTTGCATGAAATCAAAAGCCCAAATGGTATTAATTAATTAATAGACGTTGCTTTCTCAATTTCGTTACTAATTTTAATTATTTGCAGAGCAAGTGTGTGATGAAATATTTTTTGATACAACGAATTTTACAGCAAACTAGAGTTAACTAATGAAAACTATGAGCTGAAATCAGGATGAAACAGAGTAAAAGTTTTTCTAATTCAAGAGCAAATCGAAAAAACTTTGTTATTATTCTTTTTTGCCGGTCAAAAGCTTTCGTGCTTAATGCTGCACTCTCGTATAAATTTTACCGTGGAGACTATAAAAATTGAAAGACTTCGTAAAAAATCCACAGTTTAATCAATCAAGATTTTGCCGTCACGCGAAAGTCCAGCCACAGCCTGGTAGCTTTTTAAAAATTAATAATTTTCCCTCAGCAGCGTAAAACTTGATAATTAATTATAAGCAGTAGAAAGAAATCCTTCAAATTTTAATGTGAAAAGACAGTTAAATATAACTGCAAACCTAGTTCAAAAGCACATTTTACTCAGATGACATGTAATAATACATCGAGTGAAAGAAATTAACAGCGAGGTTTCCACTCACCACACCCCACCACAAAGCGTCGGCGTAACTTGCAAAGTCAATTCTACCTTGAGGTCCGGTAACGTCCTTTTCCGCCAAATATACAAAGTAACTACTAAATATGAGACCGAGAAATCCTATGTACAGTGTAGTTATTAATTCCTGTAACAAAGAAAACAAAAAGAAAAACAAACATTCGCGTTATGTTTAATTTCCACTGAGAAGTTGAGCTAAGACGGTTATGGTAATTTTTACGAATTGCAGTAGTAAAAAAAAGTAAAAAAATAAAAATTACGATTTTACAGTGAGGACACTGTTTTTTACAACCTTTTGACACGTGTGGCATCAAGGTCTCGCGTTGCTCTCTCGCGCACGCCTAAGCGAATCAATATATTTATTGTTATCGCGTGTTTTCTGCATTGTCATCAGATATAGAAAGAAACCACGTGCTATTTTACATTAATCGATTCGACAATTACAGATCCCGGAAAGCCAGCAATCCAGAGAGATATATAGAGTTTACGTATCACGCGATCGTCATCCATCTCGTGGCCGAGCGATCTCTCGCTTTTTTTCCTGTTCTACCTTATCTTTATGGCATTGAAAAATGCGACTCGCGTTTCGGAACATTTAATTACACGAGATATAGATGGAAGGCGTAATCGTGCTGTACCTGGCGATGAATGAAGACTACAGAGCCAAGAAGTCTCCAGGTACCCCCTTGGCGATCTACGTGGAGCATGCGAAGAATCTGCAGAAACCTTATGCCACGAATGGCCGAAGTGGCGAACACTTGGCCGTTGCTGCCGACCGAGAGCACGACCATCGACGCCACCACCACTATTAAATCTGTTCCAACAGAAATTGCGACGCATGCAGCCCGCATGCATGAAAAAATCCATATGCATATTCATAGGCGAAGCGGCTTTGGATAGCCATCGGGCACGCACCTATTATACATATTGGTTTTCGAATGAATCTCAGTCGGCCGCAAAAGCCCATGTACTTCGACCGGCATCCCGCACTCCATAATCGCACCAAATATTCCACGCCGAAAAACACAACTAGACATATTTCCTGTAATAAATAACGCATACATTGTTTCGTACTTAATCAGTGTCACCGAGTTTTCGTACACAAATAGCGACAAGCTTCATGTGCTGCATAGTCTTTGTTTACATTTTGATGCGGCAGCACGCAACCTGCATTTCATTCAGAGCTCAATTACAATTTAGTATTCATTATAAATACATCGCAAATGTAATGCAAGCAATTACTACAAAGTGTACTGTAATAAACGTGAACACTCGGAAAAACAATTAAAAAGTCATAAAAGAGGTATTTAGCGAAAAGGGAAATTTATGGGAACGAATACCGTGTAAAAATGTGAGCTAACGAAATGTAATTAAAGTAACTATAAGAAAATGAATCGGTCGAGCAATTGAACCGTTGTATAAGAGGGGGTATAGAACGATTGTAGTCAATTGTCAAGCCTATCGCGGAAAATGATAGCGAAGTTCATTTGAAATTCACAAGACTTTTTTTTTTTCTCCTCGATACTTACCATCCAGAACAAAGTTTCATTCGCAAATTCACTGTACTCGTCTATCGTCGATAGTACACTAAAAATAAGGCACACCAATACCACCATGAACCTGCAGGAAACATTAATTTATCATTTGCATTCATCCCGCATGCGTATACATATATATCGAAGCTGAATGGAAGTAGGGAGCTTAAAGATTCATCTGAAGCTTTTCGTATCTCTGACGACAGAGAAAAACATTCTTTAGCAAGCTTCCCCTCCGACCACTGACCCAAATGTGCTTTCGTATTTGCTCTTTATGATTCATCGAAAGATGAAAAGGTATGCCGGCGTCGAACCTTCATTCCGACTATTAAAGAGAGAAAAAGCAACTTCAACTAATTTCGGTCACGCACAGTCGCTGTGTCATATAGCTTGCAACGTTATTACTTGTAATTGTCAATGTAATTAGAAATGAACAAAGTAGGTAAGGCGTGGCACATGCCCTTTCATAAATCTTCACTCTCCCTGCTCTCCCATCTCGGTCAGACAATGAGCTTAAGAAAGGGAGAAAATGATACCAACACCGAGAAGTGGTAGAGAAAGCATTTCCATCCCGTGGGACGTTCCAGGAAGTTATAGACTTGGCCCTGAAAAGTAGCCTTTCCAGCGCGGCGATGCTCCTTTACGCGGTAGCGGCCCTCCCATGTTTGTCGATCGCCGGTCACGGTTAGCTGTAGCCTCTGATCGATTCCTAAAAATGTTTGCCAGTACAACAGACGAATGGAAAATGATGTGTAACGGGAGAACAAAAGGTTTGATCGATCGCCAGTGAGAGAGAGAGAGAGAGAGAGAGAGAGAAAGAGAGAGAGAGAGACTAATCAGTCGTCATCATGTACCGTGCATAGGTGCATAGATAAGGCGAGAGCAATTTACTCGGACAGAGATGGGAATTCGGCCAACGACGACGACGACGACTGATACGGTAGATTCGTTGTAGCGTGACTAATATTTGGTCTCTACTACGAGATTATGTGCCATCTCTCTTTCTCTTGCTTCCGAATGACATTCGTGCAAACAATTCATTTCTGGCATGTAACGTAATATTTATAACTGAATCAAATTGATCAACAAGTTAACAACTCTAATAAACTTTGCACGTTGATCCCTGTAAAATTGAAGAGAAGAAAAAGCACACGCATAACCATGCAACGTGTCAATGATTCCTCGGTCTGTCGGCCGCGCAAGTGCAACCTTACATCAATAATGCCGAACCATTGTGTTGTTCTTTCAGCAATATCTTGAGACGCCAAGCACAACGACAAGCAGAAACAGTATCAGTTCGCGCGTAGCCAATGACATTGGATGCTTACCACCACAGGCATCGATGTTGTCCGAGGGTAGAGTTGTCGTGTCAGACAATGGGGATGGCGTTGGTCTAATGTCGCCGGTACCAGGCTCCAGATAATTACCCGAGGCATTTCCAGGCCCGGCGCCGACTTGCGCTATTGTAACGTTGAGCGAGCCCCGGTTACCTGCGAAGCAAGGGAATAGCAAATCGTCAGCCACTCTTTGCCTCGTTTTCTTTTGCTGCTTGCAAACTGGGTCGTTAATAATGACCTTTGTGTCGCGCGCGAAGGTTATTTTTAGATACACGCCGATCGCACCGGTCACGCCGATCACAATAATTTTTCACCTGCAGCCTTTCAGAAGCAGATCGATGCACCGAGCTCGCGCGCACGTCCGCACACGCGCGCGTACGCGGGCTTTTACGACTTACCGAGTGCGCGGCAACAATATAGTGCACACTGCGGTTTTCGAGTATCTCGCATTCCTTCCTCGATCAACCGATAAAGTGAAGCTTATCAAAGCGGCAGCGTTTCTGCTGCGTCATACGAACACTCGGCAGCTTAAGATTCGCTCTACTTTGGCGCAGCAGGCTTAGCTCGAGTAAAGCGTATCACATCGATTTGCAAGCTGATCGACGATACGGAAAGCTCGCGTTGGCCGATCCGAGACAGCTTCGGAGGATTTGTTACCGAGACGAGGAGCGTTTGCTCGTACACGTCGTAGAGCGAATATTGAATAACACGGGATCAGGGAAAAGCTCTGAAAAAGATTAAGAGAAAGGAGAACCTGTCTTGGAAGTCGGTGGTAATAATCCCTGGACTTCTTCCAGCGGCATAGCTTGGAGATGAAAGTGATCTCGATGGTGGTGGGCGTTGTGCCTGGGCCGATCTCTCATGCCTACTTCTGCCCAGTTTCACAGCACCGACAGCAGAACCTTTCCTACGCAATCGTTGCAGCGAGTGTCTCGGCAACGGCGGCGGACCGTCGCTGCTGCTTGTTGCCGTCGAGGCAGTCTTCTTCCTTGCAACGCTCGCGCGGCTTTTTAACAACGAGACCTCCTCGCCGCTGATATCTTCTTCGTCTTCTTCTCGTGGCGCTCGACCGAGCTGCTGCTGCCGCGTAGTCATCGCCCGGCCGTCCCACCGACCATGTCCCGATGCAGCACCTCTCAGCAGCCTTTGCAACCTTTACTCATTTGCACCGTGTTAACACAACTCCTTCCCCCGTTGTAAATCTCGCATCGCATAAGACGACTACGTAAACAACACACACGCACGCGCGCCCTCACGCGTACACGTACGAGATACGTATAACAACGTAGGCGGACGACCGCTCGAAAGGGTTCTGAACTACATAATCGACGAACCATGTCGACTAAGAGTCTTTGTCTACGTGTCTGCGTTGCCTACGTTGCGTGTGTTTGTTGTTCTCGAGTGAGATGTTTCAATGACGTATACTGGTGCTAGTAAGTCAGTGCAAAACAACGTGATCCAAAGCTATCGAAGGACTATAGATGCTCGCGATAACGGCTAACTCGTACGTTCAATTCATTGACATATGTAAGTTGTATGACTTACTAAATTGCCGGCTGTATGTAATTACGCGTGTGGATTTTTAATGGCTACGAGATGTAACGATCACTGTTCACCCAGCGATCTCTTTGTAAAATTCACGCGCACACGCATACATCGATCTTGCTGATGTTTTATTGTCGTGTGAACATCGAAAAAACACACAGATGAAAAAAGAGCGAATAAAAGAAAGTGGTATAGTGGTCAATTACATCCGGAGAATCTCCGACGTGTGTTTGCGTCTGATTCGTCCAGCGTCAAAAAGCGTGTCCGTACGTAGAAATCGCCACGGCCATTATTTTAGCGCAAGCCAAGGCAAACGAAAGCTCGGTCGACGACACACTTTGCTTCTGGAAATCAACGCAACGAAAAACAAAACAAAAATCACAGAGCCAAAACAATGTACGCACAAGAACAAATGGAAAGGAAAATATACGGCGACAAAAGAGTGAGAGAGAGAGAGAGAAAGAGCGAGAATAAGCCAGCCGTTGGTTTGAAGAAAGAAGCAACCCTGAACTGTATAGTTAAACTCCAGAAGCGAAATAGATTATAATTACATATTAGTCTCAAAGAGAAAAAGACAGTTATTGTCATACTTTTTCGTCGACGTCGCGCAAACTTGTTAACTTTATCTCTCTTGGGAGCTTTACACGGTCTTGCGGCCCCACTGAATCGAGCTTTTTCAAAATACAATACAATCAAGAATTGATTCCGAAAAACAATACGACAACGTAACACTATTTTCTCCAAGTAATTCTCTTAATTTTATTTGCAAAATGCCGTATAATATAATGGCAGTCAGAGGGCAGATGGAAAATTATAGATTTTCTGATTTGCCTTTGCGAACTATTAGAGAATTGCCGAGTTAGCTAAATGAAACCTCAAGGCCGCGGCGACAGCAGTAATCTAATAAGTTCTCATTCAAAATGCCAAGCGAAAGTACTTCATCTTTTTCTTTTGTAACGTTACAATAGTCAGCTCATAATTCAGTCTTTGTATATACATAACAGCCAATATAATTATGCCTCGTGATAAAAAATTGTTTGGTCTGCAATCCACATAAATCACATTATCCCCCTACTCTATTGTTGCGCAGCGACCTAAGACTTCCACGGCTATGATAACAAAAGCTCTGAGTGACTAAAACGAGTTAATTAATTATTCTATCCTCGCGATGCATGTCACATGCGTGTGTGTATGTACGTACGTGGAGCTATTTAAAGAAACACGCAGACTTAAGTAGGTCACCAGACATAAACTCGTAGAATATTATTATAAATTCACGCGCAAATCAAACTGAAATAATCGAGAGAAAAAGCTATTTTTCTTGCTTTCCCGTCTGCCTTTGCTTCTAGGTCAAGCGGAGCGGAAATGGAATACCGAAGTTGACGATTATTTTCTGCTCTCGACTCCCACGAAACGATAATATAAGATAGCTGGCCGCTAGCAATGTCGGTCTTCATTTAGCTGTACCCTCTGTCAATAAATTATAGCAGAGAATAAGCTAGACAGCAAGATGGCAGACTCTAGTAAATGCGGGGCAATTTTAGTCTACCTGCAGTGAAAAAAAAGAAAAAAAAACGGAAGAAAAACAGTAAAAGAAGTATAAAGTTAAGTCTTCGTGAAGCGATTTCAGTTCTGCAATTAGAGCTACATTATAGAATGAGGCGAAGTGCGCTCGTGATAATGAGAAAATAGTCTAATTATTCTGTACTTTCATTTTCCGTCACTTATCATGCTAACAATACAAAATGGAAAGTTTAAGAAAGGATACACCGTGTGTGACGCTTTAGTACACCGTGATATTGACACGATTGTATAACATTATCTATTTTTACTATGGCAGCTGAACTTTGAAAGAGCAATTAACAAATGTAGGTTGAAAAATGCAGCCTGCATGAAGCATATTATAGAGTTTGATTTCGCTCGCACGGGCTGTAAACATCGATCGTGCGCAGAAAAAATTGTTTGGAATTATAAACACATTAGGAATAAGATGTTTGTGTCATATATACGATTATGTTGATCTAAACCAATAATCGACAGTTCATAGGTGACCTACTTTTCGCTCTCTTTCTCTCTCTCTCTCTCTCCGCGAAAAATACACACACACGTTTCTTCCTCATACTACCTTTCGAGCTGAGTAATCTCATGTCAAAAGCTCCTATTTTATACTAGTGCGCATTAGCGTCAGCTTCTTTTTTTATTATTATATACCCCATCTCGCGTAAAGCAGATAATGCCCCTATACATACTTCGCAGATTAAATGGCCACTAATGTAGCTTTAAAATATATACATTTTTTCTTCCATCTTCTCTGTCGACGAAAAAGAAAATTACGAGGTAATTTTTTAGCCGCTTTCCCTCCGTAAATTCCCGTATAAATATATCATTAATGAGGGGGGCTTAACGCGAGAGAAATGTTTAATTAAATGCATCGTCGGGTTGTAAAAGTACGAGCTATAAAGTCTGAAAGCTCATACTGACGGAATTTCATTTGCGTAACGAAGTGATTTTTCAGGCCAACTAAGTTTATAGTTGTTATCCGCTTGCGATGCGTTTGCAAAGTAGTGAAAATTCACACAATTGCTCAGAATAGCTGTCAGAAAACTGACTTGAAAATCCGACAAATGAGCTCTTAACACGTGAGCGCGTCGCTAACGCGGGAAGAACGTTTGTGGCGAAGCTCCGTAAGCTGGTTTCTTTCGTACAAGCAAATGTCATGAAAAAAGTTTCGTTATTTGACTGCGCACCATCAGTATAAAAAGCAACGTGGCGGAAAAAAGGAAGGAGAACGACAAAACATAGCCGTGCAGGCACTTTGGCAACACATTAGGAGCATTAAAATTCATCCGACCCGACAGCTGGAAAAGAGCAAGCCGTAAAAAGCAAAGAAAGAAAGGGAGAGTAGAAAGGACAGCTGGTTTCTCACCTCCTCGGTGTGCTTGTATGTTGCGTCTGCCTGTTTCTCTTACACGGCGACGGTGAGAACGACGGCGACGGCAGCGGCGAGATCCACTTGCCGGATCGCAAACACAGAACGCACTTGCTCAACCTTGACACTCATCGCTTTGTGTTGGTCGTGTCTCTGCGAGGAGGGAACGGAAAGCAGCGCAGGAAAGAAGAGAGACAGGACAGGGTGGGAGTGGGTGGCGAAATGCGAGATCGACGAGCGCGTGCAACACGTGTGCCTGGCTGTTCCTTACGGATTCGACACGGGAGCGTGGAGCGAGGGAGGCGCGCGCGCGCGCACGTTGCTTCGTCAGTGGTCGGAGTCAGTCTGCGAGGCGACGCTCGTTTCAACAGCGAGGTGTGTGCGACTGAGCGAAACTGGTTGTTCGTGCGCAGGTGCCGACCTACAGCCCCTGTTCGCTCTTCGGCTTTTTCGTTCGCCAGGCACACTCGCTATACACCTCTCTCTCTCTCTCTCTCTCTCTCTCTCTCTCTCTCTCTCTCTCTCTCTCTCTCTCTCTCTCTCTCTCTCTGTCCGCGCGCGGCTAGTAGGCCAAAGACGAGGGAGGTCGATGGGCTTGCACTTGATGGGGGATAGCAGCGGAGAGGGGCTCGTAACGCGGACCGGCTCTCTGTACACAGCGCCAGCACTGCTGTCTCTTCGATGCCAGCAAGAATTAATCTCGGTCATTACGGCGATTTTCGAGGGCTTGCGTTACGGCTACGCGCCCTAGATCGATTTTTGCCTACTACAATGCTTTTTCCTAATCTGCTGACCTGCTTTTTCCAAATATTCAAATGCCAGCCATGCGTGTGCTGTATAGACGTTGCCATGGTTCATATGTGACTTTCCCATTACGGCCGATTGGTCGGTGGATTTTTTAAAGGCAGAAATATCGCAATCGAAACAAATATCGTTCACGAAGAAATACATTAATTTGGTTTTCCTTTTTTTTTTTGACCATCAATACACTATCAGAAAAATCAAGTTGCTTGATAAGTTGTACGAACCATTAATTTTTCTTCTTTAAGAGGGGTGAGGGACTGTGCTACTATCTTTCCGTGTAAATAATCCCATCCGACTCAAACGATTATGACATTATGCCATGACGAAGTGGAATATCAAGCTAAATTTAGTCTCTCAACGCCGCGCCACGTAGAATCTCGTTAGAATAACTAAACGAGAAATTTGCGAGCAAATTACCGAGTTGATTAGTATAATTAGCGTATCACATTAGCTTACCAATATCCAAACGTGAATAAATTTCGAAATTTCCATTTACGAGGGAAAAACCAGAGAAAAAAGTTGAAACGTATACTTTCTTCTTTATCTCCATCGTCGGTTTACAAATTCATAGGTAAAGTAAAATAAACGTTGGAGCTTATCAAACTTATTTCAATGCTTGTTTATAGAGTAATTTATCATCGTTTGCTGATGAATTTCTCAAAAATCAATGTTTATAAAAAAGAGATCGAGTATTTTTTCCACTCGGTTTGTCACCTCTATTACGTGATCGATGTGTTTCACGTGCATTAAGGGGTCGCACGAGGCGATAAATGAAAAGATGGAGTGAAAAAAGAAAGTCCGCTCGTACAAAGTAACGCCATTTAGATGCTCGTCTGATATACGCTGCTGCCGGAGGCAAATGTAATCTTGGTCAACACATCTCTATACGCGGAAAATTGCGAGTGTTTGACGGAGCGCTTTTCTCGCGAGATTAATGAATGCCATCGTAATATTAAACGGCCATTCGCTTCTATCTTTTGCCGAAAATACAAAAATTGAATTTACCTTCGGCTCATTTAACAAGCAGTACGCAAAGGCGGCAGTTTTCGGGCGGCAGTTATCATGAATTGTTGAACGACGCCGAAAAAGGAGAAAATTGCTGCGCACTTTTGGGGAATTATACAATTCTCAAAAGACCTCGAAGTCTCGGATGCGAAAGCTCGAATGACTAATTGAATAAGCCCGCTGCTGCGGAAAAGGCGCATACGCTCTGTGCCGCCTGACGTCCGAGCGAAACTTGGCTCATACTACTTAGCAAGCCGGCTTATCTAATAAGCTCGCGCACGGCGCGCAGCCTCGTTTCATTCTTCGTGAAGTTAAAAAGTAAGGGAAGAACGCAAATCTAACTGAAAGCCACGCATAAGATCGGGGGCCTCTTCGGAAATTGAGTGTTCTTTTGGCCAGTTTCCATCGTGTATTTCTCTGCAATGTGTGACTGATGCACGTAGCTTGCTCATTTTTTAATTAAATGTAGCCGGCAGGCTTTGCTCAACTGGCACCACGTGTTGCTGCCGCTTTAATTAAAATTTTCGAGAGTGTTTATAGTGCACTCGCACAATATCCCGAGTGCGTGCCGCATAGAATATTCATGGCTCATCAGTGGCGCCAAAAATACTACTCATAATTTTATCAGGCCAGCTATTCTCTTTCCCGCACGAGACTCGACTAAATAGGCTTGAGTTTGCGCGCGCAAAGGGTCGTAAGCTAAGCAATCCGTCGTGGAATGATTGTTTCGTCAAGTATTAATGCTACTCTCGCTCGCCTACCGGCGGTATTCCCCGGAAGGCCTACAACATTGCGTTGCCCGCCTGAATAATTCATTGCCAAACTTGTCGTCTATTTCGCCTGCACGATTGATTCGTCCAAGCACCTTAGTTTCTCTTTTCGTTCTTCTCTCTTCTCGTTAAGCGTCTCGTGAATTAGCAGTTTAAACCTCCGCGCAGTGAAATTAGACTGAACTTTATCTCTTTTGTTGAGCGAACACCACAGACAGTTTGAGAAAAGTTACGAGAGTAATTCGCAGCCATTGTTGGTGGATTCAAAAGGTTTCTTTGCGTCACGCCTGCAAAAAGGAAGAAAAATTGTTGAAAAAGGTGCGTGCTGCAATAATAGCCTTTATACTTTGACAAAAGATCTTAAACTTTTTCTCGTAAATTTTAGACAATTACCGTGATCAATGGGGCTTTCGCTGTCCGATATCAACCAACAAAGTTTTTTCTTCTTCCTTCTTCAAATCCTTCGTCATCCCATCGTCGCCAATACAATCGAATTCCAGAAAGTCTAATATGTTTACCGGGTGCGAGCGGCAAACTCGAATAAACACTTGTGATTTCCTTCATCGATCGCGGGCTTGTTTTAGTCAAATTTCAAGGCTCGGCTGCGTGGACATCCCCATCGCGAGGATGATTCACTTCCCTAGGACGTGCACGTATCTTGTCGACTGTCCTTTCGCAGCGCATGCAAATCGCGCCGCGATGAAAATTCCTAGCTGCCGCTGCGGCGTTTCGATAAAAATGCCTCCGGCACAGCTTGCTTATCCGAAGCCGAATTTTTTGGATTCCCGTTAAATGGCCGCGACGAAGGACTCGCCGCTGTTCTTTCTTCTCCGTTCGACAATTGTACAAAGAAGCGCGCGCGCTCGCCGCCAAAGACGACGACGACGACGACGACGACGACGACGATCGATGCCGCTCGCGCCGGAATGTTTTATTTTACTCGTCCAAGGCCGCCGAACCCCTGGTGACACCTCTACTGTGCACGCTTGATCGATCGCCAACGACGTAGCGCATTGGCGCGCGCGTACTCTACTCCCGCACGATCACCAGGCGAGTCGATTTCTCCTTTCTTTTTTTTTGCGGGGCTTTTAACGCCGACAGCCAAAACTATCCTGGATGTTTGTTCATATATCCGCCGGAATATCTCTTTTTTTCGCGAGGGAGGAGGCTCGGTTGTGTCTCGGTCAATGTCACAGGAAAGTCGAAGGCTTGCTTTTCTTTATTCTTCGTCAAATATTCAACTTTGTTTTATTGTGCATAGCGAGACCGGTACACAAATATTGCTATGTGGATTGTATTTTGTTATACAAGCAGCACTGTGTATAGAGTGGTCACTCTTATATTAGCCGCTTAATAGATTGATTGGGGGTATGAACTATACGTTTCTTATCATGATTAGACAGTCTTGAAACTCTTTCGATCCTTCAAATCGCCATTAAAGTTGTACAGTTGTTATTCACTTAAAACAATAAAGTTAGTGTATGTCTACCTCTTGAATCATCCTCGACGTTATTATTTTGAGAGAAAAGTTGAAAAAGGGTTAGAAAAAATTAACGAATTTCATAGGAAAGTTTGACGAGCGTGTAAAAATCGAGAAAAAGATAACAAGCGAGAGACAGGCAACGTGAAACCCTTCAATTACTTATATAGACGAATTTTCTGTATCCGAGATAAATCTTATCCGGCATCGACATGCATATATAACGAAAACTAAAGCTTAAGTTCTCCTGGTTTAACAACCATCAAGCCCTCTGAGCGATACAACACGATGGTGCATCATATCAACTCCCCCTTGAGGGCATACAGCTTCTAAAACCTCTATGGCGGCATATTGTTCCTGTGGGTCTCTCTCTCTCTCTCTCTCTCTCACGCGCTCTCCTCTATTCCATCCTCCAGAAATATTACGTGTATCTTCGTTTCGCGAGCGTAAAATGTTTTACTATCGCGCGCTTTTTTCACGTTTTTATAACCAGCCGCAAACCACCCCCTCGCGTTATCGAAATTTACCTTTCTACATCGTTCGTGCATTTTTCGCTCTGCAAGAAAAAAGAAAGCGAGTTACGTCAAATTTAAATTACAGCCGGAGGGGCCATCCTGGTTGTATTTTTTTATATATGTAGCGTGTACGATCGAAAAAGATGTTTTTTTATACCGTTAGGGTGTTAGTTAAAGTCTTATCTTTATGGAACAAAAAGCTATTTTACTACTGGTATATAGTGACTGAAAGTTTGATATTGGTTGAAGTCATAAAGGCACACAAGTATTCGGGAAACTGTATTTGCAACACGGTATATTCGATTTAGAAACGGGAAGGCTGGAATATCACCTTACGAATCGTATACGTCAACCTTATGCTCTATAGCTCCCGAACATCTTTCTCGCCCCTTCAATATATATGCGGTGTAAACGTGTGTGACAGTATAAAGATACTTTCCAGATGCCCAAGTGCCTGTGTGCGTGTCTGCGCGACGCGAAGGTCGTACGTTTATTTAACGATCCTAAAGACGCTACGCATAGTTTGTTTACCTCCGCCACTCTACGGCAACAGACTCGTGTGTTTTTCTTTTCCCTCCGCCTGTTTTTTTCTCCTCCGTCCGTGAGGCTTCGTGTGTCGTGGATTAACGGTCCGCGTGGGTATAGAAATGAAATTCACTGAAAAGAGGATTTGCCGCGACGACGACGGCGACAAGTGATGACTTTTATTACAACGGCGGCGCATGGGCCAACGACGTATAGTCTAGACGTATAACGCTTCCAGCGTTATGGTTCATGAAAGGATATGGCGTATCGATT